CACCAGCCTCTAGGTAGGTAACAACAGATACCATTACAAGACCATGCCCTTGCTATTTGATCACAGCAAGTGCACAGGAGTGTGAGGGTACCCAAATCCAAAACCTACATTCCTACAAACAAAATCATCATAACATCCGCCTTTATAGGCAATGCCGTAACCATCAATGGCCACAACTACAAGGCCAACAACCATCAATGGCTACAACCAGCCAGCATCGATGGCAACAACAGCCCACAACGGTATCTACCGCTAACAATGGCAACAACAGCCCACAACGGTATCTACCGCTACCAAACCGATTACAACGAAATCGATACCAAACCAGAATTGCATCTACAATAATGGCAACTGCAACAACAGCAGAACGACAGTGAACGTTGAACCGAGTAGCTAGCTACAAGCAACTCAAGAGTTCACAAGACAAGGAACCAAGCCACAGGATGGCTGGAGCATTCAGAGTTTGACCCACAAGCGGGAACCTGATCAATAGAAACAACAAGAGGGTGCACACCTCAGCTCCACTGCAACTACTGTACAGAGATTGCAACCAACCTTAGTCTCACACCAACAACAGAAGTACGTGAGTACATCAAATCAAGCCTACAACAGATACAACTATGGACGACTACAAGTTCTGCCACAGCCTGCTCACAGGAGTGTAAGAGCAGTGACAGAACCAACACTTGTCCTGCCACAGCCATCTCACAGGAGTGTAAGAGCAGTGACATCACCAACTCAAAGTATCATTGTGGCAAGGAACTTCCTCCTAGTTCCAGCTACTACAACAGTTCTCCCAAGTGTCGCTATAGCCTGACTTCCCAGTCTCAGCTACGGCAACACCAAGTGACGGTACCAAGTGTACCAAGTGACGGCACCAGTCGACACGAGTGACGACACCAGCAGTCACGAGTCTCACATGAGTATAAACAACCATGACAAGAGGAAACAATAAATCAACCATTTCCTCATTCCATCTTCAGACATCGAGACCATCCAAGAACTAGGTTCAATCGAACCCAACAAGTCCGTGACTTCCAAGCTACATCATTTACAGCTTCCATGCACCTTCCAATAGGGCATCACTTCCCACAAGTCTACGACTTCCAGAAGCTTCAACCAGCTTCCATCTACGAAGGGCTTCCAGCCCCATCAAGTGTCAATGCAGCCGAACTTCACAGTCCGAGCCGCAGGTACACCAAGTGACGGTATCATCCGACACCAGTCTTCCAGGAGTGGCACCACTCTCAGAAGGAGTGCCAGCCACAAAGACTTTTCCGATGATGACAATGTCCGTATTGTCTCGTCTCCACCGCTCAGCTTCTCGTTACCAAGCGGGATGCCGAGCAACCACTTCCAAGGTTTGTTTTGGACTCATTGCAAGCCAGTCGGCACGACGACGTGAGACTTGGATTACAAAGCCTTTCCAAGGTAGGAGCCTGCTTACCCAAGCACTGATAGACACTTTGAGTGCTATCGATTCTCAGGAATCCTAGAGGCACCGCCTCAAGCTCCACAGCAATCCAAGTTGCATCCAATGTCCAAACCAACCAAGCCAGCTTTGGCTACAACAAGTACAAGTCCTGCCACAGCTAGCTCACAGAAGTGTGCCAACAGTGACAGCAGGAGTGGTATTGATAAAGTTGTACCCACCAAAACCAAAGTCTCAAACCTTTTTCAACCTTCCTTTGAATTCTCCGATCGATCTATCCAGATTGACACACCAGACCGACTGACAAGAAACGATTATGCCAGATCGAATGACACGAAGCGATCGAATCACAAGCAGCGACCACGAGATCGATTCAGTTTGACTCTCGGGATCGACTCAGAAGATCCATCATGAGATTGCAAGTGCGACCACAGAAGCCTATCGAGGCAGAGCAAGCTTACTCAAGCAAGGGTAGCCACACACCAGTGCTACCGGGATATCTTCTGCAGAGGATTCCCATAGTTCCACAGGAACAGTTCCACCATGGAACCAGCTCATGCACGCAACAGTTCGACGGAACGCCTCAAGTTGCTAGCACGCATCCACAAGAGGTGCAAACCAAGGTCCACATCAAGCAAGCACACATTCATGTACAACAAGTCACAGCCATTCGATTCCAAAGAAGAGGAGGCCGTGATGAAGGAAGAAGCTTCCCCAGCTGGGAAGAAGAGGATTCCATTCCTCTGGAAAAGACAACAGCAGGATATCCAACACTTCTTGGACATCCAACAAGAAGAGCCAGCTCACGTTCCATTCCAATGGACAACAAGCTGACTCCAGATAGCTACCAAGCTATTGCACAGACTCATGCTCACCTGATTTCCAAATCCAGTATCAAGCCTGAATGGATTGATGTTTCCACACATCATTGGCGATTGAGACCATGGCATATCGATGTCCAGTCCAGTCTACACCGCCAGTCAAGAGCACAGTTTGAGTCTATATGAATGCAGCCGGAACTTCCTAGTTTCCAGCTACAGCAATACCAAGTGACCGGAACTTCCCAGTCCACGGTTCAACAAGTGATCGGAACTTCCCAGTTTCGAATACAGCAACATCAAGTGACGGCACCAACCGCCACAGCAAGTCATACAGGAGTGGCAACACTCACAGGAGTGGTAGCCACAGTGGCTTTTCATGACGACACTGTCCACATGTCCACATTGACTGTGACAGATTTGTCAGCACTGCTATGGATGACAAGCTTCTCGCCACCAAGCGGAATGCCGAGCAACCTAGCAATTGGTCTCCCTCGACCAACAACTGTTCCTTATGGAGCAACCATCATTACATTAATTATTCGTTCCACGGTATCCTTTATGGAACCGTGCAGGAGTGTGTTGGAGGTTGTATTACAGACACCTCAATACAAATTAGTCGTTTATCCCAATCTAGTTGATAGGGGATATCTATATCTATTCTCTAGTTACATACATGGGGAGTTTAACTGATCTATATGGTCACCCCCTTCACTATATCCTTTGAAGTTGAATCAATCCCAGAAAACATGGAGAAAGATCACTTCTTGGAAATAGCTTAACAGTAAAACAGTATTTTACCTTTACTAAGCTAGAGTGTTACTAGAAACCAACACCGATCAATGTAGCTCTCCTGAGAAGTTCCAAATGAGTGACCTGATCGCACATGTGATGCATAATAGTCAATTGCTGAATGAGCAGCAAGGAAGTTGATTGCTCCCTTTCGCATTGATTTAGCGTGCGAACTTCAGTTGATACCTTGGCTGGAATGAACTTCCGAATGGTGCCAGTAAGCTTCTTTGTGACAGAAGAATCACTGATTTTGTGGAGCTTGGGAAACACCCTTTGTGCACGGTCGAGCTCATCAGGACGTCTAAACAAGCCGTCTTCCAAGAGATAGTAACAACCCATGGCATGGTACCAGCATACTCTGTAGTTATATCTGTGTGGCATCATTGGCATGGAGTATGTGTTGATAGTTTTGATATCAATCCATTGGGTATCCACTACTTTAAAGTATGGGTCCCAAAGCCAGTCACTATAGGAATTGAATTTGGCTTCTCCACCACGAGCAACAGCATGCCATGTCATTAGTAATTGAGCCCGCTGCTCATAGATACCAGTATATCCGGATCTCGTATCATCCTCTTTGATCATGCTTTTAATGATTGCATTTAGATCCACTTTTGATATATCGCCATTGATAGCTCTGGAGTTTGGGTTGTTGTGTGGCATTCAACTGGTTGATAGCCAGTAAGTTTTCAAGGTACAGTGGTCTAGTGTTGTCGTTTCATCTTTATTATTATTTTGAGTTCTTGTACATCTTTTTCTAGCCCTTTTCTTATACGGACCACCAAGAGCTGTCATCTCCGATGTGACCATTCCAATGAGGATGATTGGGAAACTTTTCCCTCAAAACTTCCTGAACCTTCCCAGCATATTCAACTTTGGTTGATGCTTTCAGATATTTACTACGCTCTTGAGTTGACCATGAATGAAACTCAATTTTATCAAAGCCACGGGGAATGCTAATATTGGCAAGCCAAGAACAGAACTGGTAAGATGCGCCTGTAAATTATCCTCTGCAATGTAAGTAGCAGTCGTCTGATCCATTATAGGCTCTTTTCGAATAGTTTGATATTTGTTATACAGCTTGATAGCAGCATTCTTTGTGGCATTAGATGTTGGTGCTTCTCCCAATTTCTTTTCCCGAAGAGGTTGACTACTACATGCATTAGTTGTTTGACTCATTTTCGTTGCTGTACAGGAAGAATAGTACTAAAATGCTAGTATCAACTAAGTTTGTTGTTGGTGTTGGTTATCGGTTCTCTTCTCTGTTTGAAAAGCAACAGGAATAGCCAAGTTTGTTGTTGGTGTTGGTTATCGGTTCTCTTCTCTATTTGTAAAGTACCAGTAATAGAGGTCTCGAGCACTTTCAAATAGCTCCAGTAGCTTCATGTAGCTCCAGTACCTTCACTGGGAGCTCCACGTAGCTCCAGTGCCTTCACTGGGAGACCTCGTTGCCTGTTCAAATAGCTCGCAAACACCCAAAAATAGGGCTCTTTTCCCAAAACCAACTGCTTGCTTCAGCCAACTTGCCATAAAAGTTAGCTGGAGAACTGGGAAAGCTAACCATCACGGTGTTGGGTCAAAGCTGAAAGCTAGTGGAAAACTCCTGGAAAGCTAACCTGTAAACAGAGCACTAACCTCCAACACGAACTATCCGAATTCTCCCAGCTCTCCTCCTTTTCTCCAGGCTCCCCGCCAACTTTCCGGGCTGCGCCCGGAAAGTTGGGATTTTTTGTACTCGGCTTCACAAAACTCATTATGTTGTTACTAGCTGGACTGTGCAAAGCCATGCTAGACTAACTCTGATACCGCAGCATCGCTGCGGCCTCACTGGGGTGCCTGGTTTTACGCACTGGTGTCCAAGGGAAGCGGCTTCGATACAATTGGTATTTGTATTATAAAATTACTGGTAAGGCTTTATTGTACCTGGTTTATTATGGAAAGGCTGCCCTTTTAAAATATTAGACTGTGCAAAACCTTTGTTTGACGACTTCTTGCTGCCTTCTCAACAGTGCTAGGCTTTCGGTGCGTGCCTTCAAGATTGATTTCGCCTTCTCTCGTTTCTCACGCGCTGCAACTGCTGAATTAAAGGGTGGGCTCGTTGTAGCCAAAGCTTGGACAAGGGCTTCACGACCCGTGCGGCCAAGTCTCCGCCTACGACGTTCACCAGGCGTGCTCGAACCACGCCTCGGAGAAGTTGTCAATCGATTAGAGCTGGGTTGGCGCCGATCTGCAGTCCTATTGGAGTCATGTTGGTTTGAAGGCTGCTCGGGGAAAGCTACAACGAACGTTTCTTGGATCTGTGAGCTCGTCGTTGGATCAACTCGTTTCGGTTGCAAGCAGCCTGTGGTTCTTCCTTCTTGCGAGCGTTTTGTGGCCCGTTGGCTCATGCCGTGACCGCGATGCGCAGACTCCGCACTCCGTCTGCGGCGGCTGATTTGGCTCCTGTTCCTTTGACTTTGCGATGAACTAATGTCCAATGCACTGGTACTTCTTGCCCTCACTTTGCCACGCGCAGTCGATTTGGGGGACAACGAGCTCCGGTATTCATTGGCCCGCCTGCTTCTTGTGGCTTCATTTATTCTTGTCTCTTTCCTGTCTTTCTCGCTTCGGGAGCATTGGGATTCCCGTTTGTGTTTCCTGGCCTTTCGTTGCCTTTTTGCGTCTGAATCGCGTTTTGAAGGCTGAAGGCAAGGGACACCAAGCTTCGACCCTTGATTGCCCAAGTGTTTAACATTGGGTTGTGAGATTGGTACATGCACTTGTAGTCGAGGCTCATGCTGGGCGATATTCGAATTGGGGCTAAGGCGATCGCCCCTGGTCATAGAATCCAAGCTGAGACGCCGTGCAGGTTTTCTATTGCTACTAATGATTTCTCTGTGCCTAATGCTTGAGGTGCAGACAACATCATTCCCTCCTAGAAGCCTGTCTGCGCTACCAAGTATCAACGTGGTGCTGGTCCCCGCGTCCAAGCTTAGCCTCCTTCTAGTAGTGCAAGAACCGCGCATTATGTTCAACTCACTTGTTCTGAGTTGTTTCCCTCTTGGTCGCAACACTATTCTTATTTGAAATTGTGAGAAGATAGATAGGAAGCATACCTTACCGTACCAGGGTGCATGCAAAGGCGATGGCGGAAGTTCATTCTAACCTCGTATCGTTGCTATCATTATTGCCGCCACTCCCGCCGAGATGATGAATCATCTTCCGTGGCCGGTCAATTCGGGACCCCACTACTGGCTCGCTACTAGCTGGTACCTAGCCAGCTACTAGCTAGAGCTAGCTACCGGTAGCTGGTGTGTAATCAAAAACCAGATCAGATCAGACCGGACCAGTCGCCGATGGTGAACTCGCGGTGAGATTGCAGTACATGTAAAGCTACCAGTACCACATTTATTTACAGCACCTGGGATTCGATTCATTCGATCCAAAATCGCAACTGTTCCAAGAGCTCAAGTGTGTCTCAAGAATGGTTGCTTAAGCACTTCTGCTGGTTTATATTTAGCCATCAAGGCTGGAAGAAAGGAGAGACCAAAATGCCATGCAGTATCGTACTTTGATCATCCGTGGTACCCGGTACAGTGTACTACTAGCTAGCTAGTACCGGCGTCTTCTGAAGGCTCGATCCACCTTATCACAGTTCTGATTGCCTCCTCCCACTCGGCACCAGAACTAACTATGGCTGGAGGCTTGTCTCTGTCAAATGTTTATTGGAACTCTCACGTTGTGCTGCATTTGACAAAGTCGAGTGACAGTCGAAAAGTCGAGTAAATTATATTTAGAATACTCACTTTTTGCTGCAATTGATAAAAGTCAGAGTCATTCGCTGCCAGCTGCCTTCGCACTCTCGCACTTCGCACTCTCGACTTCGCTTTCCCATCGACTATGCAGCAGCCTCCGGTATGATAGAAAAGAGGCAACGGAGACGCGTTCTTTGGGCGTACCGGTGCCAGTAGCAACTGAAATTGATGTTCGGATCATTCACCTGCTCTACGAGCTAGCTAGCTAGCTAGTACTGGTATCGGTACTTCAAATGCAGCAAAGGGTTAGTGTGCTAATGTTTGACAGAGAGAACGCGTGCATGCATGTATGGTTATTAAGAGCATCTTCTACCGTACCATCAGATTTGGTTTAGATTGGGTCATTTGAACACAATCTAAACCAAATTTGATCATATCTTGTTTCTATCACTGTTGTAGAAATGCTGTTTTGATTCCGTTTGGACCAAATTTAAACGAAAACGAAATTTTTGTTTAGATCAAGCCAATCAAAACGAAAAATTGCTCTCGGTTTTGATTTTGTCATGACCCCATTAACCAGTGAAGATTTAGGAAAAATTTGAGTCCAGTGAGTCAATTGAAACGAAATCGTCAATGAGAACAGGTACAGATTGAGTCCAGTGAGTCAATTGAAACGAAAAATAGACAAAACTGATAGAGACTGCTTTTTCAGTGGTGACAGTTTATCCTCTAAATATCAAAACGAAAAATGTTCATAGATATCTAAACGAGCGGTAGAAAATGCTCTAACGGTACAGTATATATCACGTTCGGGTTTTGGCAAATAAATGCCACACGACAAAGCTTGATGGAACAGTCTCTGGTTTCTCGGATGGAAGGCGAACTCGTTGTGGGGTAGGATGAGTTATGATGTGCCGTCCTCTGCTCCGTCGGACTTTCTACCGCCTCCTCCACTCCAGTCAGCCAGGTTACATGACCTCTTCCTCAAGCCGAACTTTTGCGAGGCAAATGCCAGGCGAGGAAGCCACAAAACCCGCACCATCAACCGAAAGAAGGCATCAATCGCAACAAAGAGAAAAGACGGACATTGTTTGAAAGAAAGCAGAATTATGCAGGTTATACCAGAGCCATCAAGCAGCGTTTCGACTACGGATCACTCCTCAGGGCACATGCGTGAAGTCGAGGTGAGGAGGAAACGAATGAGCCCATGCGTACCGGTATGGACAGAGAGACTCAGTCAAGGCATGACAGCCGCGGCGACACCAAATGTACCCAGAACCGTGCTATTGCGCGGCCTATTTGTCTCGAGCATGATCGTAGCTGTGGTTATTTGTGCAACCGTGGCTTTCATCATGATTCGAGATCTCCAGTTGGAAATTGGACGGCAGACTTATGAGAGGTGCGTGAAAGATACAGGAACAGTCTGATAGGCTGAACAACAAGTTACGTACCGTAGACAGGCTTCTAAAGTTTCTTAATCTGTCCATTCTTTTTTCTTTCCTGCAGCATTGCAACTAGTGCTCTCAATTCTGCCAAGGCCATCACCAGACGGAAGATCGCTGCTGGTGATGTAGTGGAGAGTATCATGTCCAATGCATTCCCGGATGCAAATCAGTGGCCGATGGTAGCGTTGAATGGATACTACTCCACTGCCAACGAGGTGGCAAACTTGGCTAGCGACGTCAATACCTCCATGCAGATTGGGCTGTTGGTTTTGGTGGAGCCCGGTGAAGAGGCGTACGCCTTTGAAGAGCATGCCAAACAGTACTACAAGGATCAAGGCTACCCTGAAGATGCAGGAACAACCGCAGCTGGCTTTGGGATTAGACGAAGAGATGAGACGTCGAAAACAGGGTATACGCTTGACAGGACAGGCGAAAACAACACGTACGGTAGCACCAACAAAGTGCTGGTTCCGGTGCTTGATCATTCAACGTGGAAGAGCCCCATGCTAATGTATGACACCCATGTTTCCAGTACCGCAATCGACAGTATCATCGATTGCTCGAGACGGCATAATGAAGACCCATTGTCAGCATCGCTATCAGTCCACAGCCACTATGGATTACCATGTTCCAAACCAACATGCAGCGTCGTTACTGGATTCCGCACGCGCGGGGAAGATCTGATATCGCTCATCTACAAGCCTATCTATGCGAACGGACGACACAACGAAACGAAGCTCGTCGGAATGATTGGGCTCTCCGTGAACTTCAAAGATGTGTTACATAGTGTGATTCCGGATTACTTTGATGGGATTCACGCCGTAATTTCAACACACTCTATGTCTGAAAACCACACCAACATCGAATACTCAAAAGCTACATATGACATCCGATCTGGAGTGCCACAGCTGAAAGGTCCAGGCGATTTACATCTCGAGGACTTCGACACGTACGGAAGAAGCATCGTGCTAAACGACATCAGTACGGACGCATCCGACGCCGTCGTATATACCTTGACTATCTATCCCTCCTCCTTCAGCCAGTATCGCACTGGAAGCCCTCTGGTGGTTGCTATTGGGTTGGCAGCTGTCATCCTTGCCTGTAGTATCATGTTCTTCTTGTACGATACGCTGATGCGCCAAGAGTCACACGAGCAGAGAGCTATCCTCGAGCTGAAACGGCGATTCGTTCGGTTCATTTCACACGAGCTACGAACACCGCTTCAGACCGTTAGCATGGGGATAGAGCTTCTGGAATCGGACATCGTCACCTACAACCCCCGTCTCGCCAACAAGGATGCAAAGACGCCGACCCACCCCGTTTCCAAAGGGCAAGAGAGTACAAGCATTCCCATTGATGAGGCAAGTATTCGATTCTGGCACGAGATTGCCGTGGACATCAAGGACAACGCCGCCGGAGCAGTCAGCATACTCAACGACTTGCTCAACTACGACAAGGTAAGAGCACCACTCCAGATGAAGAGAACGGGACGAGCTGTTGGAATGGGAAACTTACAACCCCCTCTCCTACGTCAAGGTCGAGACCGGGGTGTTGCATATTGAGGCGGAGGTGGTAGACATTCTGCAGCTGGTCAAGAAGACTGCAAAGAGATTCACAGCTCAAGCAATCCAAAAGCAGGTTAGTCTAACATTGACTACGCACTGTCCTGGAGGTGTCCCATGTGAATTTGAAGTCGATACAGCCTTGAGCAATCTGAAGGTTCTCGGGGACTCGATGAGACTGAGCCAAGTCCTCTGCAACCTCTTCTCAAATGCGCTAAAGTTTACACCATCAGACGGATTTGTTCGAGTGAATGTACGCTTCTGTATTTGCCGCAATTGCAATTCTTGGGCGTTGCTACAGAGCGTTGGCCATGTCAAGGGAAGAGTTGAAACTGATTGCCCAGTTGCTGGCTCTGTCTCGATTGATGTCGTGGACTCTGGGGTTGGCATGACACTGAACCAGGTGGAATTGGTCTTCAAAGGTATGTTCTACGCTTTAGTTGTTCATCTGTAAATACTAGTGTTGAAGTGGTTGCCTCATCATGCTTGTTTGGCCTAATGCTTGCATTCAGAGGGCGTGCAATTTGACGCCAACAAGCTCCAGGCAGGCGGCGGTTCGGGGCTCGGGCTTTGCATATCGCGAGGAATCATTGACCGCCACAACGGAGTCATCAGTGCTAAATCTGAAGGCAAAGGAAAAGGTTCCACTTTCTCTGTCCTGCTCCCACTGTACGACTTGGGAAGCCCCCTCCAAGACTCTGCAAAGCAAAGCACCGCTCAAAATGTTGAGCTTAATCGCGTGGAGTCCACTTGTAATTCTACATGCTCTCAGGGACAAGTCCTTGACGACCCCGTTGAGAAGGCGAAACACGACACGATGGAATCGCCGCCACCACCACCACCATCAAAGTCACCTCCTCCCTTGGCTCTTCCGTGCTGTCGAGATAAGCCACATCATGACATTCTGGTGGTTGAAGATGTAGCATCTAGCCGAAAGATGTTGATAAGACTATTGGAGCGTGCTGGTCACACTTGCGAGCCAGCTGGAGACGGGAAGGAAGCTATTCAAGCGGTAGTGAAGAACATGGAACAAGATGTAGAACAAGGCCAACACATGAGTATTCCTTTTGACACGATCTTGATAGATTATGAAATGCCAATTTGTAATGGACCAGATGCTACAGAAGAAATAAGAAAACTGGGTTTTGATGGATTGGTGTTTGGAGTGACGGGCAACTTACTCCAAGAGGACGTGGAACACTTCCTCTCTAAAGGCGCCGATGAGGTGCTTCCCAAACCAGTGACACTCGCCCTCATCAATGATGCTTGGAAACGACATCCGAGGCAACCACCACAAGATAAGGTTGAAGTGCCCATATTGGATGACAACGAGATTGACGTCGACGGCATATCTGTGTAACGGAATCTAGTCCTGACCATCACTGTCTAGCTGTACCGGTGTTAACCAAATCTGTTAAGTCTGCAATAATTACATCTGCAATAGTGGCTGTCGACTAACTAGTAACTAGAATGCCAAGGGCGGAGCCGCAATGGCAGGTTTGCTCTCATCCAGGGACATGATGCGGTTCATAGCCGCCCGCTTTTCCCAAACAGCACTACGTGAATCAGGCGACAAGAGAAACAGCGCCTTTTCTTGTTCATTCACCGCAAGATTGCTTGCATTGTTCTTGTTGTTGTGTTCCAGTGGTCCAGTTTGAGCCAACGCCATGACCAGAGCCTCTCGTCCCGTACTGTGACGCCTTCGTCGCCTCACTTGATGATGGCTCGTTCCAACGTCCAAGGTTGGCACGTTGATCCCCAAATGTCGTGTAGAAGGGCGCTCGTCAAGGACAAATGGCCGTTCCCCCGGAGACAAGAGCATTGCAGGTGCAGTGGCTGTGGAGTTGGCTGACTTGGAGGATCGCTTGGATCTGACAGTGGAAGCTCCACGAGAATGGTGGCTGGTGCGTTTTGCTGCGGCTGTTTCCTCGTCTGGGACAAACAGTTTTTCACCAGGACTGAGGAGGAGCGAAGGAGCCGAACGAGATTTTGCCCCTCGCGACTGGCTCCTCGACTTTCTTCTAGCTCGGGGTGTTGTCGGCGTCGTCGCACTGGTACTAGAAATACTCGCGTTTGCAGCACTCGTGCGCAATGCGGGGGGTTCCATGGACCGCCGCCTTCGTCGTGAACGGCGGCGCTGTTGATCCGCTGATCCCGGTGTTGTGGTGGGTGTGCTAGTGGTACCGTTGGGTTTGCACAAACTGGGGCCCGGCGAAGTCGTTGCTGCGTGAGTGCTCGCAGAGAGTCGTTCAGCAATGGTGATTCCCTTTTCCTTTTGAGCAGCGACATCTCGTTTGGATGGTTCTAGGCGGACTCGTGGCGTAGCGGCTGACGATCGTCGACTTGAAGAAGAGGTCTTTGTGCCGTTGATACCATTCATGATTTTTCGTAGGGTGGGTCCATGATCACTGTTGGACATTCGGTCATCACTGTTGCTGTTCTTTTTCTTTAGCTTGCTGATCTCGTTACTGCTTCGACTGCTGAAGGCCACGTCCAAAACAGAACATGATTGATGCATCAACGCTTCTTCCGTCTTGGCAGGTGCCCGCAGTTTGCTGCTGCGTGTCTTGGACTTTGATTTGCTATTTTTTCGAGGAGGCACATCATTCTGACTCTCTGTAGTAGTAGTGTTGTTGCTGCTGCTACTCTTCTTGACTCTGCCCACCTTTTCTCGTATCGGATTCAACACTGGCACTTCCACTCCAACATCGACAGTTGTTCGTTGCCCTCTTCGAGAGGACTTGGACTGTCGCACTCGTCTCGCTGCTTCTTCTGCTTGTTCTTGTCTCCACGATGCGTCCAAATCACTGTCTTCCAAGGCAAACGAAGCGGCAGAATCATTCATAAAAGTAGGAGCAAAGGAAGGAGTCGCCGAAGAAGAACCTCGCAGTGTCGACACTTCAGAGATGGAGTTTCGCTTCGCCTTGGAAGGTCTGGTTTTCCCGTTGTTCCTTTTCTTTTCCTCTGGTGCAGCATCATCTTCCGCCGTCGATGAAAGGAAAGCACCAAAGTCAGGGATATCACTCAAACTCAGGCGTCGAGAGGGACGCTTAGCAAAGGCGGTCATGGTGCTTTTGTGCCGCTACCGGTACGATACTGCGCATGTGGGGAGGTTGTGAAATGGTCTCCGAGCTGGTTAGAGTACTCTAGTAGTTGACGTGTTGACGTGGTATCGGTACTACAGTAGTACCAGTTTCCCGTTTCCCGAGCAACTTTGTTGCAGTCATTTGGTCAGTCACAGCTCGAAATGACTTTCCATGAAGTGCTCCTCCAAGAATTAACATCATCCATGGCGGGACCTTTCTGTAAAACTACCGTACAGTACCGGTACAGTTAAACAGTAACAGTGTACTACTTGTAAATATTATGCCTGTTGGTACTCTTTCAGCCAGCGAAGCGGCTACCAAGGTACCGGAGGTCTTGATCCGCAAGATTTGATCAGATTCCATCCATTGACTCGACTCCATTCATTCGTTGGTCCACCCCGGCGAAGATTGCCTGTGGTGATGATGCTCTTCTTTGTATTTTCCTTCGGTGAAACAAAAAGCAAGTAGCACAACTTGCTTCATACTCTTCTTGTGCAGTAGAGCTAGCTGATGGATGGATGGATGGATGGATGGATGGATGGATGGATGGATGGATGGATGGATGGATGGATGGAGGCGATGGCTAGCTGTCAAACATGAGTATCACCAGGTAAACCAGAAACAATATCGAACGAAACTACAAGCAGTTACTGTAGCCATCTCGGGCGCATTATAACTCTTACAGAACACAATGATCGGATCCGAAGCGAATTCGACGTGCTAGCTAGCTAGCTAGCTAGCTAGCTAGCTAGCTAGCTAGCTAGCTAGCTAGCTAGTGAAACACAGACACCATCACAATCAATGAAACTGCACGTACATACCGTAGGAGTACTACTAGCTAGTACGTGGACACCAATAAACGTCATGGTAAAGGATAATGGTACCGTTAGTCCTGCGTACTACATGTAGTCACTAGAGTCCTGCTAGTCTAGTCTAGCTACTAGCTTCTGGTAGCCAGAACAACCAGTTACCCCCATCAGACGCTCAGACTGTCGCTCGGACACTCAGATTCACAGACGAACTGGCAGATACTGAGTAATTTTTTTGGAACGGAATGGGAAGGGTGACGGAAAACGGGAAGGAATGGTTTCGTACTGGTGGGGTCGAAGAGTTGCACTCGGCACCAGAACTGTGGCTTGATGGGTTGACTCTGTCAATCCCAGTAAATTATTTAGTATACTCACTTTTTGCTGCAATTGATAAAAAGGAACAAACGAGACATGATACTGAAAACTGTGGAGGTGTCAGGAATTCAATCAGGAAGTGGGAAGTCAAAAACCATTCAGAGTGGCTGGCTAGAGCTGGGTATTCTGCAGTTTTACTTCAAGGGAGGAGGAGTGATCCACGAAACTTGGCATGTGTCCAATTCTTGTCGTAGAGGATGAGATAGATATCGAAAGTAGACTGGTGCTCGATTTTTGGAATTGGGTTTCTTGCTCAACAGCCACACGTAAAGCTTTTGATTTTGATCTCGACTACCGGTAGCTAGCCAGATTGCCAGAGGTAGCACTGCAAACTCTTTCGACCCAAGGCAATCGCTGGGTCCATTTTGCTCGGCTGCGGTACCTACCTACAGGATGACATTCGGGCACCTGGCTGCATTCCATTGCCCAACAACTGTGTCCTGGCTGCCTCCTGATTCTTCAACTTTCAAATCCAACGGGCTCCTTTTGCTGATGCGTCAGTGGGAAACTTTTGTTCTGGCTGGGCTGGCTGGCTGGGCGTTCAGGGTCTATGCATTTCACCTATGATGAGCAGTGCAAACCTAGCTACCGGTAGGCTATCCGTGCTACCATACCGCTAGTCTAGTCAGACAGGCAGCCAGGGCAATTGCAATTGGAAATTGGAAACGAAGAAGCTTCTGATTTCGATTGATGAAAAAATAAATGTGCTCAGTAGAGCTCGCTGGCTAGCTTGTTGCTCGTTGCTCATGAGTTATTGAGCTTACTAAAGTAGTTGATAGCCACCGTAGCTGTTGCTTCAACTTGCTTGAGGTCTTGATGCTTGATGAGAGATGAGAGGCTCGAGGAGGAAGGAAGACGGGTTCTCGACTGTTCTCAACAGGGTACCAATCAGAGTACCGTATTGTAGTCCGTAGTCCGTATGTCCGTAAACTACATTGTACCGCAGTACTGTACCAGTACCATACAAAACAAGGGTTTGGCTTTTCTTAGCAGAAAACAGGATTTATAGCCGATTTATTGGCTATGGATTCCGAGTTCCGAGGTTACATTCTGTGGTGACCACAGGAATTCAACTTTCTCCCACTTCTAATAAATCGTACTGGTGCACGTCCAGCTTCTAAATCTTAATGGTATCGTACCGGTACCGGTACGCTGTTTTCGTCATCGCTGAGCCAGCTTCATCCAGCTCTTCATCAGTGGGCCGGTCGCTGTCAAAAGGGAGCCTATCCGATACGAAAACCCGTGCATGACATTGTATGTACATGTAGCAGTAACGCACTCTTCCGATTGCTTACCAGTGAACTCTGATTTAGGTATGTACCGGTGGTAGTGAAAGGATTTGGTTGGACAAAGTAAAGCAACTCTGCCAAGCCTGGGGCCAAACAATTCTTCCCCAAAAGCCAAGCCCACCCAACAACTATAGACTCTGTACCCATAGTTGCTGGACCTCAATTGCCGATGCCGCGCGCAACATTCTGTAGCAATTTCCAATGAAATCACACGTTCCGACTGTCGTGGCTGCTTTCGCGACTTCCTCAGGTTACTCGGAAAAAAGAAACAGACGGAGAGGCAATGCAGGTACCTATCCTCAGTGCTAGCTAGCTATCGTAATAAAGAGCTACTTTCTTTTCGCTGCTTTTGAAAGCTAAGTACGCACTCGCTGACGACGCAACAAAGAAGTGGATACCCCCCCCCCCCCGCATCTGGCGTAACAGCTACTAGTATTCAGTAGTCTACTAAGACAGCATCGAATTGTTGGAGCAAAACGTGTTGCCCCAGAAGCTAGCTACCGGTAGCCAGATTCGATTCCGCTATTCGAGTGGTAGCAGCCGTGGTAGCTCAGTATTAAAAATGTACCTATTCTTGGCTTACGCACTTACTTTCCCATAAGTCATAGTTGAGCCTGTTGCCTTTTTAACGTGAAATTACATGTATGTAGCCTATTAATAAAAGCAACCCAACAATGGTCACCACATCACCACAACAAACATTGTACAGTACCGTACTAGCTAGTACGGTACCAGTATTGGAACATCCTTCAAACCCACAACACAAAACCATCCAGTAAAGTGAAGGGACAATCCGGCAACATGTATTGGGGAAACCTTGGAAGATTTGGCTAGCTCGCTACAATCTGCGTTGTCACTTCCCAAAGCTGAAGGAGCCAGGGTGGCTTCTACGGTAGCTAGTAGAGCTGCTAGAGTAGCTACCCGTGGCATGATTCGATCTGCTACTAACCGAGGAGCCTACTAGCTAGTACTACGATGCAATACCAGTACCGGTACGTACCGGCCGGGAGTAGGCTCAGAATCCAGAATACCGGTATGTAATCTAACAGCTCTTGCATGACTACTACTAGTACTAGTACCGCTACTCTAGCTACGAGTAGAGTAGTACCGTATTAAAAATAGCTAGTACTATTATGTATGAGTGTATGAGTAAATTTAAACATCATGTACAGTACATACATAACATGTTGTTTGGAGAAGCTAAAAATTTCCCATGGCCTATTCCCCTTAAAAGAAGATCTCTTTCCATTTTTTGAATGGATTCTCTGCTATTTGTCAAAACCATCTCTGCCCTCTAATAAAGACTACTCAGGGAAAATAAAGCAATATGTCGAAATGTCCTGTAAAAGTTGACTATTAATCCCAAAGCACCCAAGATCAACCAAATACCAGTGAGGCTGGCTCGACAGCGTTAAATATATTATTTCAAGAGTCTGAGAATTCTGTGCCCAAATTTCTTTCTTTCGTAAGCTTTGCACTGCTGCCTGCAGTGGTGGTACAGCTTACTAGCTAGTACGCGGAAGGGTAGCCTGGTACAGTAGCTCACTGGTTTTCTACCACCATGCGAATAAAAAAACTCAAAGAGGTCTCATTCAAGAGTATTAGTCGACCTCTACCTAGCTAGAGTACCATGCCGTACTAGTCTAGTACTCGTAGGCAATGCCGCAACCGCAACCGTGCTGTTTTCAGGTGCAAATAACTTCAAGTACTGTTGGTTCTGGTAGCGGTTTTAGTCGAGGTCAGTGCCACCGGGACTACCAGGACCCCGTAGAAATGTAGAAATAGGCCCAGTACGTACGGCAGTACGGGTAAGGCGTATGAACCGGCGCCAGGTTGATGGTTCGAGGCTATTCTCAAATAAATCCTCTCAGTAATACTATTATAGTAGCACGCAAAGAACAGTAGTAAAGCTACGTGTGGGCCGTGTGGGGGATAAATAAATCGTACAATGTCTCATGTTAACCCTTTGAGCTACAGAAATTGTAATACTAGTAGTCTACCATCGAGAAAAAGATCGGGCTCTCGGCGAATGAAACCGGTGGTGGGTTATCCACAAAATTGGCACGAGCGGACCCCACAAAGCGCTTCTATGCTTGGTTCAAAGCAGCACTACTAATTCAATTCAATTCGTTGGCTTGGTTTGTTCTTGTTGTGGGTGTCCTTCGAACCTGCTTGTTAGTAGACGGCCTGGTGATTGCCAGCTAGTCTCTATCTATCTAGTCAGTCCAATCACTCGCAAACACTACCCAACAATACTGTAAGCAACCTCTCAAAGTTAAAAGAAGAGGTACAAATCGTTGAGCGACGAGTTATGAGCTGTGCGCAAGTAGCAGATATGTCAACGGCAGGTCTTGTTGCAATGAGAAGCAGTTGTCCCCGGAATCCTCCGGGTAGTCAACAAGCTAAGCCTCGCAAAGCAGCCAATGAAGGCTACGGCGCAGAGGTGTTAAAGCCAGGACAGCACGATGTGCTTCTGGGGCGAGGAGGAGGGACGAACAACCACAGCGGGAATATTAACTTTCGCAAGTTGGTGAACGAACACAAGATGCGGTATCTTGCCTGCAGTAAGATTGAGAAGCCGAATGTGGCGAGAGAAGTCGTAGAGCTCTGGCGCAAGTTGGATCCTCCTGGTCGTTTCTTGGCTCGCAAGGAAGACACCACGGGTAAAAAGGGTGACGACGGAGGCAGCGGCCAGGTGGTGTGGGTCGAGGTCCCTGACAAGAAGGCTCGGGAAAAGGCTTCCCAATGTCTACGCGAACGGACGCCCGATGTTGTCCCCTACATTCGTCAGCTTCGAGAGCAGCAAGACCAGATGACCGAGCACGGAGTCACCATGGTCCAGCATCAGCTCAAGATGCAACGAGAAGCGGAAGCTCAAAAGAACAGTCTGCACGGAATGGCTTCCGCGGCGGCTGACTACACTCGACGCAATAGTATGGCGGAGCACAATCCTTACCAGAATCCCATGGCCATGGGCATGGTAGGTATGGGAGGTCCCGCTGACTATGGAAGCAGACGTACAAGTATGCCAATGGCCAACGGTGTCGGGAGTATGGATGGAATGCAAATGATGCAGCAGCAGCAACAAGAGGCTTTCAACAGGCGTCAGAGTGCGCCTCATCTCATGGCCAACAACGCCGACGGTCCAATCATGACGCCCAGCGGACCCAACATGATGGGGCAGATGCCTGGTCATTACGGGATGATGGAACCTGCTTTCGCCGGAAGTATGGGAGCTGGAAACATGGGAACCGGCAGCATGGGAGCAGACATGTACGATCCTGCTTACGCATCCAGCATGACCGCCATGCAGCTTCAGCAACACCACCAACAGATGCAGTTGCAGCAAATGCACCTACAACAACAACAGCTACAACTCCAGATGCAACATCAGCAGCAAATGCAAATGAGCATGGGAATGCATCAAGGATCGGCTCACATGAACATGCGCATGCCCCACAATGGTGGTTGGGGAATGAACATGCAGCCCGTGGGGATGCCATCGGGACCACCCGGTACACTTCCCAACCATTCGGGGCACCAGACTCTGAACCAATCCAGTAGCCACCATGGCTCATCTACGCGTCTGAACAACGACGCGTCTCTCAACAGCCAGAGGTCGCGTGTGCCGGATGCTCCGACGTCGGCCCAAGGCACAGCCGACGTCCCAGCTCCGGATCAGAGTACATCCGCAAACTTTGAAGCGTCGCCCAAACCAGCGTCACACGCAGAATCACAGCAGTCGCCTCGGAAGAGTACAAAGGAAATGATGAAAGTCCTTTCGGGCCATGACCGTACACCCAAGCAGCCAAGGCAAGGAGCCAAGAAAAAGGCAACTCAATCCGTCGAAGAATCACCCACCAAAAAGACAGCAACACCCAAGGGGCCGGCTCCGGATCCTCCGGCCAACAAGGCACCCGATAAGACTCCAATGGTCCCCACGAGATTGGATAATCATCCTGCTCCAGCGGCTGTGACACCAGAAGACCACATGAATGCACCATTGCCTCTAGATGCTCCTGCCAGTAACGAAGACGACCACGGCGAATTGACCCTGGAAGAGTACCGCAAGACCCTCGAGTCCTACATGGTCAGCAACAACATTCAAGCACAAAATCCAAGTTACTATTCGGACGAGGACGATTTGTCCGTCGAATCCTTCCCCGACTGGCCCGATGAGGCCGATCGCCGTGAGGATCGACCGGAAGGACCCAAGCGTTCAGGACCTCGTGCTGCACCCAACGCTCGTCAAGTGGATCGTAAAGTATCGGGACATTCCATGATGTCGACAAATACCTTCAAGTCCAACACTACTAGTCTGAGTGGTCTTTCCATGCTCTCCGATATGATGAGCATGACGTCCGGATCCAGAGGGGACAAAATGAGAGATTCCAGGAGATTCTCATCCAATGCGTCCATCATGTCAGAGCTCACGGATATTAGCCACACGATTGATGGCTTGGGATTAGACGACGATTGTTAGGCATCGAGCAGGACGAGATTGGGAACACTTTTTTGAACTCTGTTTATCCATACATCAATCAATCAATCTATTGAGGTTTCTCGGTGTTGTACGCATCGATGGCCGAAGCAACGTGCGCGTCATCTGTCGGATCTGCTATAGCAGGTATAGCACGGTCTGCCGTGTATGTTCCATCCTGAATGTCGAGAAGGGGGGGGGGCTACTCGCATAGCAAGTCAAGGTTCTAGCTACAGAAAGGGAACACCACACAAAACAGGCTCGAGGAGCCCAAGTTTCATTTTTACATGTTTCTCTGCTGCACCAGTAGGTGTCTTCGTTGGTCTTTCGAGCATTCTCTTTCACAAATACACAACTCTTCAAAAAGTGTTCAAATACTACAGTGCTACTAACAGATACCTAAAATAAGCCATCCGGAAAGAATTTTTGTCAGCCATGTCTAGTAGGAAGACTAACATCAGCACAGGAAAGGTTGTTTGGTGGCTATCATTTCCAGCCCATCGTAAATGTGCGGTAGATAGTACCGTTGTCAGTGGACTGCAACTTGTCCAGTACATGTAGCTATGTCAACCGGTACGCTGGTTGGCCTGGCAACATCCTTTGTCCCACCTATTAGCGTGGATTTACCAGGCAGTCAATGACGACAATTTTAAAAACTATCCCACTCTGTCCGCTCTCTCACCTGTAGGTTTGCCAGGAAGCCCAAAACATCACTCGAAGAAAACATCTTGAATCGAATGAATAGAATCGAATCTTCAATCATCAATCAATGCGCTGCTGCCGACTGCCGATCTTGGTTTTTGGTGATATCTTTGACTGGATCTTCTGAACCGGTGTGATCTTTGCAATAGCTTTTTACACTGCTCTGCTGCGCACTTACCGGCACCACAAGGCTACCAGGTGTGGTAAGAGCAGCTGTATGAGCTACAAGAGCCGCACTGGTGACCAATAATTGAAATGGTCACTGAAGGCAGGCCGTGGCTTGATGCTTGACCACTGACGGGGCCTGTACATGTACAGCTTACAAAGCAGGTGCTTCGGTACCTGTGGAAGAAACGAGGCTCACGTTTATGATGCCACCATCAATCAGCACAGCCACAGCTTCACAGCTGCCGCTACAAAATAAATTGATCCTTCTTCAATCGTCAAGAATGGAACCAAACAAGGTCATCCAAGATCTCCTTCATCTAATCGATCTCCTGTCTCCTGACACCGGTTCAGGGGATGTGCACGGAACACCGTAGGCTGCATGGAGCGATCCAGTGAAGTGTGACCAGCAAAAGATAGCCCGTACCGACGATTCGATTCTGGTCTTCCATGTTGCGAATTCTTGAGAGTGAGCTTCTGCCTAGCTAGCTAGCTTCCGGATGAGTTGGCAGTGGCATTGATGGCTTGCTGGCTCCATTGGAGTGCGCCGACTGACGAACATCCGTCATCGGGCGGGGTTCGGAAAATACATGTAGAAAGGCAGCCAACAATCAAATTTTACCTGACTGGAGGGGGCCCAAGTGACGCCATTGTCAACTTTCTACTTCGACAACGTCGGCGGCAAGGAAGGAGCTTCTTTCGCCTTCCCAACCCTTCTTGGGGCTCCACGAGGCATCACCCCCGGTCCAATATCGGGATTGAACCACATCGGGACCTTTCCCTGTGCGGCCAACAATAACTGCCCATCACTACGACTTACCGTACCGGTAAAGACAACAGAAATGGAGAAATGACAACAAAAACATTACTATTCAAATCTAGCTAGCATAGGAACTAAAAGCTATAGTTGCGCTACAAGCTGTACCTGGTACTCACACGGTCCAACACCTGGTCCTCCCGTCCTGAACCTCCTTGACCAAACATTAGGGCCTACCCCTGGTCATTCTCCAAGCCCCACTCCTGGTCCCGCACCTGGACCAAACATCAGGTTCTACCTCTGGTCCATCTCTGCACTGAACTCCTGGTCCATGTCCAAGCCATGCTCCTGGTCCATCCCTAGACCCCGCTCCAGCACCTACAGCTGGTCCATCTACATGCCTACTCCTGGTGCATCTCGGGGACCCACTCCTGGTACACCCTCTGGTGCATCTCCAGGTCCCAACACTGCAGCCACACGCAACTCCCGGACCAACACATGGAACTGGCAGACCCACCCCAAGACCCAAGTCCCTCCCTAGGCCCCAACTTCTGGTTCAACACCAGGATATACCCCTGGTTGAAGGCTTCTTGGCATGGGTTGATGCATTGTACATGTAAGTTCAGGAGTTGGGTCAGGATCTGGTCCTCTCCTGGGGTGTGTCCAGCCAGCCAGAAGTAGAGGGCGGCTTTAGTAGAAGGCCATGAGTAGGTCCATATGTTGGCCTTGCATCTTTCGCAGACCAGGTATGGCAATACATATTGGGTCTGGAGTTGGCTGGTCTCGAGAAGTCCACAGACAGTAACATCTGTTGGGCAAGATGTTGGGCTATTGTGATGCAGTCACATTGTCATGTCCTGTGTTGCCTTTCTACTGAGCTAGGAATCGGGCCTTGTGGCCAATTACCATCATTTTGCCAGCTCTATTGCCTCACATCCTCTTCTGAAAGTGGTGTCAGAATTGGGCAAAGCTAGCTAGCTAGCTAGAAAGGTGCAAATAATGCAAAGTCCAAAAAAACAAATGAGGACAACGCGTCATTTGAAAAGAACTTGAAGAAAGGGGAATCGACTCACTCGACTCAACGAATCCCTGCATGCACGAGAGGCAGCTGTTGTGGCTTTCTGCTTGTGCATGTACGATGTACCGGTTTCTAGCTTGCTTCTTTTTGGGGTTTCTTTCTCGTCACAAAAAGACAACCAACCCAAAATAGTAGACATGCCCCAAGCGTCCTCCGCATCTCTCTCCACAACAAACAGCTCTCTCTTGGAACGCTTGCGGCAGAATGATCCTACGCTTACGAAACTCAAATTAGTGCAGAATTACAATGATGTTGCGTCCGATTTTGATGAATTCCTGGAATGTCTCCGCAACAACACCATCGTCTCCTATGTCTTGTTGGAACGCCACTTTGTTCGGTCACTCAAGAAACCGCAATGGATCGCTCTCATTCAAGCGGTCGGTCAGATGACAAACCTGGACGAACTCGAAATCTGGTCCGTACGAGTGCCTCTCAAGGAGCTATGTGAAGCGTTCAAAGACTCCACCAAATTGACCCGACTTGGGTTCGGCTTTGTGACATTGGAAGGTTCACTGGACGCATCTGCGTTGTGTGGCCACGCCTCGCTCAAGACGTTTTATTTGAGTGATTTCCGATTTGTAGAGGAAGAGGAGGCGTCGTTGGATTCGCTTTGTCAAGCGCTCTCCACTTGCCCCAACTTGAGGTTTTTGGAAGTCTTCCAATACCAACAAGAGCATCCTCCCGTATCGGCGGAAGGTCTCGCGGCGTTGATGGAGTCTCCGTGTTTGCAGCACTTGACATTGAGACGCATGGGACTGACCGCGGCGTTGACCAGTGGCTTGGCAAACAAACTTGTTGACAATTTGCAGTTGCGTGTCCTCAACCTCAACGAGAATAAGTTGGGTAACGAAGGATCCCATGCTCTGGGGCATGCCCTCACGGTCAACCACTCCTTGCAAGAATTAGACTTGCGCAAGAATCAGTTGTCGGCAAATGGATGTTTCGTATTGGCGCAGCAATTGAGCAACAATGAGGGCTTGGAACGATTGAATCTTGCCTGCAACCCACTGGAAGACCATGGCGCAGAAGGATTGGCCAGCCTCTTGCAAGTCCATCCTTCGCTCAAAACTCTAGAGCTTCACAGGACTCTCCTCACAGATATGGGTACTGGAAAGCTTGTGGATGCCTTGCGCGACAACGAGTCGCTCGTGAACTTGGATCTCTCCTTCAATAGCATTACGGAAATCACATATGTTGCCGCGGCGGAAGCTTTGAAAGTCAACCACTCGTTGAAATCAATCAACCTACAAGTCAACAAGAAAATGAGAGTCTCCGCTTGCGAAGCACTCTTGGCCATGGTCAAGGAAAACACGGTCCTGGAGCGTGTTAGCACGCTCATGCGAGTTCGTTTCGAACCCCAAGATTACCATGAACTCGAAGACGTGTTGCACCAAATGAATCTATACCTGAGACTCAATCATGCTGGTCGCAATCACTTGCTCCAAGGAAATGCCACTGTGAAAGAATGGGGGACGTCGTTGCTTGCCGTGCAAGATGACTTGAATGGCTTGTATTATCTGACACACGCCAATCCCGCCATGATCTGTCAGCCTTTTCTCGATCAGCAGCCATCCGTTGCCGTCGAGTGATCGTGTTCTTTGTGTTTGTTGTAGTTCATTGCATCGTCGTGCTAGCTACCTGTTCGCTACCTTTTGCGCCGCCCACGCAGTACAATTAGCACCATTTATTTGCTTACATACATATTCACCCTGCATCAGTGTCATGTCATCATCAAGCATGCGTTGTTAAATTAATATTTCGTTCCAAGAGAAATTGTAAGACACTATCTACACTGTACCGGTACCGGTAGCTAGTAAAATGTTGTAATTTGCTAATCTACGATGATAAATTCAATATACTCGATCGCTCTTTCCACGCTTGAACTTCCGGCGCAAACCTTGATTGGAGGTTTGACAATCACAGTCCAGATTCTTTCAGTGCTGAGGACACCGGGGCGATGACATTCCTCCACAAAGAGTTTTACGCTGCTTTCCTGTTCTGCAGTCGGCAATTCTCTTTGCTTCCGACTTGCTTCGTCGCCTTCTTTTGGAGCCTCTTAGTACTTTCCCAGCACTACTTGAACCACCAGTGCCAGTGCCACCACCGCCGTTGGTCGATTCTTCCGAAGATGACGACAAAGGTGCTCCCGCATTGCTTTCGGTTCCATTTTCCAAGGGCTGTCCACCTTCTTCTTTTCGAAACGCCATGTCCGTGAGTTTCACAGTCCCCTTTCCCACATTCTCCAAAATACCAAAGGACAGCATGCGATTCACCAAATTCCGAAAGGCACGATTATCCGGGTGCTTGAACCCAGCAGCCCTGACCAGGTCTTTCTTTGCGTGAACCTTTCCATCTAGCAACCGATTAAAAACAGCCGTGGTCTTTTCTGCGTTCGGAAGTCCCTTTTGATCCTCGAGGATCATTTTCAGCATCATAGCTTGCATCTCGGCATTCGTCGTGGGTACATCCTCTACCTCTGGAGCGGCATCGATACCATCAGCTGTCAGTTCCACACGATCATCGCTGCAATGACGATTGATGAGCCCTTCTTCCTTCATTTGCTTCAAAGCGTGTCGAACATGCTTGGATTCAATGTTGACGTATCCGACCCAATTCGCAACAACCTTGAGAACGGGCGAGTTTTCCCCCATGGCCCGGAACTTTGCGAGACCTCGAAGCAGATTTGCCTTGGCTGTGTTTACGCTTTGGGCAGAGGGTGCAGACGACATCGCGGGGACAATAAGGACAAAAACAGCGGAAGGCAGATTTGGTTGTGGAGAGAGAGAGACTTCGAGAGAGAGAGAGAGAGAGAGAGAGGCTACATGTACGGGTAGACTTGTTGTTGCGTTGCTCGATGAGCAGTTCCACGGTGACTGGTTCCACGATTTCTGGCCAATGCGGCTTGCCAACTCTTCGCGCCTTTTCATTGCGGCCCGCTCCTGACGACCTTCCGCTCGGCATTTTTTCTTTTCTGCTTTCCCTGGTGGGTCCTCTTTCGAAGCTGCCCTCATTATTACTGGTATCACCAAAACCACACAACACAACAAAACAACAATGTTACGATCATCCCTCTCTTTTGTTCGAAAGAGCAACAGGCGTGAGCAGCATGGAAGGCTTATTCTGGCCGTATCAGGATGTTCTGGAGACGACCGGTGCTCCTCATCTTCAGCGGCAATCCACCCAATGGCATCATCATCATCGTCGTCATTGCCATTGTCAAACGCAATGATAACCTTTTCACAAAAAGATCATTTGTTCATGGCTCGGCGTCACTTCTCTCACTTGATTCAATTTCCACTACCGCTTCAACAACATCCACAGCACTTACCAAAACAGTTAATCGACCATCCTCATCAACAGCAACAAGTCCGGACCAAAGTGTTTGTGTCGAGCCACAATGACATGAATATTACATCGAACCAAATTTTGGACTACTGCGGTACCCGTGGCATTCAAATTGCTACAGCTCGGGTGACGTCCTCTCATGTCGTTCTAAAGGAATGCCCCTTTTGTGACAAACCAACCAACAATAAAGCCGACAATGAATACAAGTGCTACATTAACATTGGTGGTGGAGCATATTTCTGTCACCGATGCGGCAATGGCGGAAGTTGGTTCGACTTCAAAGCTCATTTGCGAGGATATCAGCATACTGTCACGACTTTGTCGGGAGGTGGCAGCCCCCCACCAAATGTACCACGGGCATCAACAGCGAAAGGGGCTGGCGCTCCTATTAACATTTCTTCTAGTTCACCCGCTCCATTGCGCATGCCCAAGCAGCGACTTCAGTCCTTTTACATTTCCAATCTACTTGACTCCAACGACAAGAAAAACGACGAGGTTCTGGACTATTTGAAAAACACGCGCGGGTTAAATGAAGCAACTCTTCGCAAGTATGGGGTCGGTAGGGCCAAGTACCAGTTCCCCAGCAACAAGGGTGGAGAGTATGTGGATGCAGAATGCATTACCTTCCCTTGGATCATGACAGTAGGCCATGTCAAGGAACAAGAAGAACTCCGGGGCGCCGAATTCACCATGCCCTCTAGAAATGGCAGCGATGCCGGAGCCAATGCCGTCATGGATGACTCGGATTATGTGACTCGACGTATCAAAGTACGGGCTCTCAAGGAGAAGGGGTGGCAGAGGTTGGACCCTGCCGGTGGTGGTTGGGGATTGTTTGGTTTCCATACTGTAGAAAATGCAACGGAACTTGTCTTGACAGAAGGAGAGTTTGATGCCATGGTACGTTCAAGTGAAAACGCAAAGTAGACGCTTGACTTTCATCTGGTGGAATAATGCTGACGTCTGTTGGATGCTGCTGACGTCTGTTGGATGATGCTGTGGTGTCTTGTCTACAGGCGGTCTATCAAGCCACTGGTCGCCCTGCCGTCTCGTTGCCCAACGGTTGTCGTTCCCTGCCCATGGAAGTTCTACCTATGCTGGAAAGGTTTGAAAAGATTTACCTGTGGATGGATCATGACGGTCCTGGTCAAGAGGGAGCCAAACAATTTGCCCAAAAGATTGGAATGCAACGATGCTACATCGTCCAGCCCCTCAATGACCAAGAACCCTGTAAAGACGCTAATGAAGCACTTCTGAAAGGACTAGATTTGGAAGCCATGATTAAAAAGGCAAGCGTCACCAAACATGAGAATGTCATGGATTTTGAGGCCATCAGGAACGATGTTATCCATGAAATTCTGAACCCAAATGAATATTCTGGAGTGCCCATGCCCAGCTTGCCTCTGTTGACCAAGTTAATCAAGGGATTCCGAAGAGGTGAACTGACTGTTTTAACTGGTCCAACGGGAAGGTACGTTGCAGAGAATTGTTCATACAATTTTCCATAAACCACCAACACCTCGTCTCACCTCTGGTATGGTATTTAATGATGACAGTGGCAAGACCACTTTCTTGGGACAGTTGTCCCTCGACTTGGCCGAGCAGGACGTCAACGTTATGTGGGGATCGTTCGAGATAAAAAACACACGCTTGGCCCAAAAGCTACTGCAACAGTACAATCGAAAGCCGTTGCCAACTGCGGAACAACCAGACGCCCAAGCTGTTCTACATGCTTTGGCCGATCGATTCAGCGCTTTGCCGATGCATTTTATGAAGTTTCACGGAGGCTCCGATTTAGAGGATGTGCTCGATGCAATGGAGTATGCAGTTTATGTATCTGATGTGGAGCACATGTGAGTGTTCAAAGGCAGTTGTGTGTCGTGTCATCATGGTGGCAGCATGTCGCTCACATACCGCTTTTCTGCATCGCCCAGCATCCTTGACAATCTGCAATTCATGATCTCCAGGTGCGTAGTAAACAGAAGCGAGTACTCCTGCTCCCAAGATGCATGGCACATCGTCATCCTGACATTGCTTCCTACCCCTCCCAGGAACACATTGAACAAGAGCTTTGATAAGTTTGACATTCAAGATGTTGCCATTGAGAAGTTTCGCAAGTTTGCCACGGATCGGAATGTACATGTGACCCTGGTAGTCCATCCTCGAAAAGAAGACGAATCTTCCAAGTTGAACATATCCAGCATCTATGGAAGCGCCAAAGCAACGCAGGAAGCAGATACTGTGATGATTCTCCAAAGCGAACTCATGGGTGGCAATCGCCGGAAGTATATCGATGTCAAGAAGAATCGCTTCGACGGGTCACTCGGACAGTGCCCTTTGCATTTTGATGGCAAAAGCAGCCGATACGGCGATACACCCATCGCATGCTAATGATAAGGGCAATTTCCTGTGTTTTGCTACCTTGCATCTACTGTACTTTCCCTTTGCACTGGCTAGGTACTCCATAAGTTCTTTGGTCGGTGCTGGCTGGAAAGTTCCCTAAAGTGCTTTGTTTATTTGTTTATGTCTGTCTGGCCTTGAATACGATTTTTAATCCCGGTTTGGCTTTCATTGTGACAATGTTGGTGAATGTGTGCTCCACATCGCGCTGGGATGGCGCAATCTCCACTCTCAAAGCCCGGACCATTTGGGCCACAATCATCTTGGCCTCATAGGTGGCAAATTTGTACCCTACACAATTGTGGCCACCAGCACCAAATGGCAAAAATGTAAAGTTCTTAGTGTCCATGCCACCACTGCCGGCTTCACCATTCTCCAACCATCGTTCGGGTTTGAATGCTTCTGGTTCAGGCCAGTACTTTGGGTTCCTATGAAGAAGATGAACGGACAAGACCAAGTTGGTACCCTTGGGAATCTGATAGCCTGCCATCTTCTCCTCATAGCTATTTCGACGAACCATCATCCCGACAGGAGGGTACAGGCGCAACACCTCATTCAGGAGTGCTGACAAGTATTCCATGTTTTTTGCTTCTTCCAATGTAACTGGATCATCATGACTGTTGGGGTCTTTAAGATTCTTCATGACATCTTGAAAGACTTTCTCCTGTACATCCGGGTGTTTGGCCATTGCATAGAATGCCCAGTAGCACCAAGTCGAGGTTGTTTCGTGTCCAGCCAACAAGAAAGTCTTCAATTCATCCTTTAATTCTCTGTCGGACAAGACATTCCTGCCATGGGAAGATGCTTCTGGATCACTGGCATTCAACAACAGTTGGAGGAGAGACTTTGATGACGATTTGTTGGGTGAAGATGAAGCATTGTCCATCTCTTGCTGGTTCAATTTTTTGGCATTCTGCATGATTCCCTCAACAGTATTATCCATGGCTGATCGGATCCTAATGGTCTCTGGATTGATGAACTTATCCAGGAAGGAAGTATTAGTGATAAAAAGGACCACACGCAAAAGATTTGGCTTCAAGAATGCCATAAAGGATGTGATGAGAGGGTCTGTCAACTCGGGTGACTCCAGACTAGTATCATTGTTGTCCCCAGCTTGCCTGGATTTTTGGACTGCCATGGACCAAGCTTTGATATCTTTGAGGCCATTAGTATCATAGGAGAATCCAGCATCTCCAATGACATCCAGTGTCAAAGCAGAAAGATGGGATGCCAGGTCAATTTCTTGTCCCTCCCCTGCCTCCAACCAATACTGAATGAAAGTTTGCACTTTGGGTGGAACACTGATGCTCAATGCCTCCTTGAGAAATGACACTGAAAATGCTGGCTGGATGATTCGTCTATGCTTCGCCCATTCTTCTCCTTCCAGTGTGACCAAGCCATATCCAATAATATTGGGCAGGGCAAAGATTGGTTTCTTGAATCGGCAATCATTCTTGGTTGCTGGTGCTGTTAAAATTTCCTGAGGAAAAGCAGAGTAGAGAATGTTAGAAGAATATATTGCAACAGAAAGACCACCAGACGGTGGCCAGTACCGTACAAACAAACAACGAAATTTGGAACGCTTCTTGTCTCACCTTGATGATCTCCTTGTCCAGAATCAGCAAGGAGTTGGAACCGAGTGCTTGAGAGTACCGAATGACTGGGGCATCAGGACCCACTTCTTTCCACCATTTCTTGTGTGGAGCCATGAATGGTTCCCTCCTAATAACAGCCAATTGACCCAAGAGAAAGCCACACTCGGGACCTGGAATATTTTTCTGCATCCACCGCCATGTCAAATATTGGGGAATCAATCGCAGCAACTTGTACAAGGCAAAGCATAGCGCCAACACTCCCAACCAAAACCACACCATGCTCTATCTATTGTTGAATAGGAACAACTAATCTAATATCGTGCTACAGTAGCTGGCTACGGTAGTAGCTAGATTATGAAAGGTTCCTGTGTGGACAGACAGCGCCTCTCGTTGATGCTTCCTTCTTTGTTGTTGTTCCTGGCGTTGTTCTCTCGCAAAAAAGATACGGTTCGCCACGACTTGGATAACGCGAACCTTATTTTCTTTGCGAGCCTGGTGTCGCCGCAGCGCGCGCAAATTTGGTTTGAAATTGACATTGTTGTCACTCGGAAGCTGCCACACGTCGACGAAGCTTTTGTTACTCCGAGTGGGTGCACAAAAAAACATCATATGTGCTGGAGAAGGACAAGACGACACTGCTGACTAAAGCACAGTAGACTATTTAATAGCTAGATCTAGTAGCAAACCAATGCCATCATGTCTACTTTCTATGTTTCTCCTGTGATACTAAAGTTGGTAGTTTCTGGATTGCTGCTTCTCCTTCCTGGAGCAGGAAGTCAGAGTCTTTTGGTGGTGGATGAAGATTTCCAGTACGACCGTAATCTAGCAGGATTTCTTCTCCCATTCCAGATATCTTGGCGGTTTGAAATATTTGATGGAGCAGGTGTCCCTCAAGATCGACAACCCACAGATGCAGAGTATGAAGGAATCAATGAAGCCACCGAGAATTGGTTCACTGTAGAGATTCCAGCTTTCTATGGTACTGATAAACCATTCGCTTTTCAAGAAATCGAATGCATCACGGACACGACTTCCTACGATGACACTGCTGCAGAATGGCAACACCAAATGATCTTTCAATGTACCGTTACGTGGGAAGCGGATAGCCTGGACGACGTTCCCATGGTGGAAACATTCTTAACGGACATGAATCAGGTACGTAATCATGACGAACAGTACAAATCACTGTCGCCACCAAATTGTCCTGATGCTCACACTAGCGTACATATATACCTTTATTCTGATGGATTTGCAGCCATACTTACTCGACAACTTTGTCCAACCCAATTTGAGACAAGCAAACCCTCAGTCCCCACGAAACATATTTCAATTTGCTGACCGTGTGGGATACACCACACAAAACACGGGAACAAGTGGTCCGGCTCCTGCAGAGGGAAACACCACGGCACCTACCATTGCAACTACTACTACGGCACCTACCATTGCAACTACTACCGCTCCCACAACCATCGCAACGACCGCTCCCACATCCATCGCCGCGTTGCTGCCTCCCATGGCAGCGCCGACGGGTGCTGCAGCCAATGTTCCTCAGAAAAAGGATGCTCCACCGGCCAAGTGTGGATCTTTGTCGACCAATGGATACGGAGGTACTGCTAGCGATGCCAATGGCTGCGCAAGTCGCACCGAAGACGACAATAATACAAGGCGAAGGCGAAAACTCAAGGGTAGCAAGTACTAGCTGGATAGCTAGTAGCCAAAAATTGTGGCTGAACAATATTACATCCCTTCACGAGAATTGGATAGCTATGTTGAATGATTTGATAAAGTAGTTAATTGTTGTTTTTATCTAGCATGTGTCGTGAAGCAAAGGCTTGCCTCTCGTTGAGTCAGTCGCCCCTGAAAGAGGTTGGGTGGTTCCATACGGTACTAGGCTACACGAAGCAATGCCGCTCGAGGTTCAGCTGAGAATAATTCCCAGCTGCTTGCGCCTCTTCCATCTGGCTGGTTGCCGGTCTCTGCAGTGGGCAGACAGCTACGTTTGCTGTCCATGAAGACGTTCTTGTCTGGTCCTGAGGACTCTGAATTACCAATAGGCCAACCGGCAGCAATGCTGCACTATCAAATAGCACTGAGTGGAAAGAGAGCAACAGGAGCATCATTAGCAAACTCAAGAATTAAGTTCACACCATTGGAATCGGATCTTGGTGCATCACTCAACACTCCACTTGTAGCTACAGTACTCACCAACTGCAGGAAGCACAGAAAGCAAACAATTCCCATGGTGGTTCCGCTTAGACCCCAAAAGATAGCATTGGTAAACCATGACTCATGGAAACTACTTTGAAAGAGCTCCATGCCTGTGAGACATTGCCAGATGGACAAACCAAGCAGAATGATTCCGACAATGCAGTGAGACCGATCCCATGACACTCTAAAGGTGGCTATGCTGATCAGGTCTAAACTGCTCTTCATGTCGTCGCTGTTGAAATCGGATGGACCTGATTTCCGATCATCGTCTGAGCCTCTGAATTGGCTGCCAACGTTCCATGGAAGACAAGATCGGAGTGATCCCGTCAACGAATAGAACGTGAGCACTATAAACAGTGTCAAGCCCACAGGACTGTGCAAAGTCTTCGAATTATTTGCAGATTGTTTCAAGAGCCTTTGATGATCAACTGTTGTCGTGTTGTTGGCGCTCTCCTGTTGAGCCCCAATGACAGCTGTAACGAATGTAGCTGTCACCATGACAACCACCAGAACATTTGCCCACCGATACAGCCTGTTGTTGGAAGATGGCTTGCCACCGCAGCACCCCTGCAACAGGGAGGAACCAAGGACTATGGGCAGAAGAATGCCACAGGTCAGTGTCGCAAATACCCCATGAAGGGTCCACCAGATTTTAGAGGCAGAAGTTAGTCTTGATGTCGTCGGTTCAGACACGGAATGGACAACAGTCTCATTGGAATGATTGTCGTCATGATTCACTGCGAATTGGCTTTGTTGGTATTCCTCTGAGCTTGGCGCTGCAAAGGATTGATCAATCAGTCCTTCCTCCGCCAACTCGGACATGAGACCATCAGTGCCACCCCCTCCGCCAGAGCCATCTCCTATCGTGATGACATAGCCCCCAGTATCGTATCGCCTTTTGCCAGAAGCTGGGTTTCCCTCGTCGTTCTCTGGCAGCACAGACGGTATGCATGGCTGGAGATCCAGCACGGCCACTCCCCTTGCCTCGTGGTAGCCCAATTCATTGCTCAAACCGTGTGCAAAGAGGAAGGTATTCGACAGTTTGGGCTGGAGGGTCAACTCTCCCGGTTCCATCAGGAGTTTCGTGAACCTCATGGTTGTAAAATCATCAGTCTGTTCCAGGGTGGCATTGATCAAAGTCTGCTTGAATGGAACTAGGGGCCAAACACCGCCCGGATCCTTGCCTCCGAGGCTATATTTCTGAACTTTGTGTTGCTCCGACTCGGGGTCTGGTATTCCAATGACACCGATCGATCCCAACATGGAAGCTCTTTCACTATGAGCAAATCCCAACCATGACTGACCCTGGTACACCATTTCGACGGAAAGTGATCCTCCCCCGGGAGCCATGTCGTCAACGTTCACAACGTACTTGATGTGCAGCTTGTCGGTGATGCTCAAGCTGTACTGATATTTGGAACAGTCCACGAAATCTCGTTGCAAGAGCTTCAAGTCTCGATGATGTTTGTTGTTGTGGCGTAGTAGTTGAGGATGTTCTTTATCGTGCAAGCTCCGTCGCTGTCGCTTCTTTATTCTTTCAGCATGATGCAGCCTCCTTCTTGAATCGCCCAGGTTCGATAGAGCAGCTGTCTTGTTTGTACTCTTCATCACAGATCCAAGGAACCCCATAACGACGAGCAGTGTTACCACCACTTTGGTACACGACGACCTACCGGTAGGTTGTCTGGTCGCTTCACTACCGCTACCCTCGACCGCATTCACTATGCTTGCATCCACACTGGGTTCTGTCATTTCTCTCTCTGAGATTTCATAAATGGTAGCTCATAGAAAGAAACAATCCCCGTTTCGCGGAATTCAACTCTTGTGCTGGCTTCGACTCGACTCTTGGGGAGAATCCAAAAATGTGAACGAAACCGTCGTTTGATTTGAGTCGCTTCTGGGTGCGGTTTCACGATCGAGCGGCACAAGGGCACAACGCGTCTGTTCATAAACTGGTTCAAGCGCAGGTCCCATGGAGGATCTTGTTGAAGGCTGGGCAGCTAATAATGGCAGCGATATATAGTTGGCTATTTACACATTTCTTTGTCAAACTTCTTCAGTCTGTCCTTTGAGGTTACCGGCAACTTTAAAGTTTTTGAATCCAAAAGCTGCGAGGTGGCTACCGGTACGATGTACCGGTACCAGTACCGGTACCGGTTAGGTACAGTAGAATACAGGTCCTCGTTTCTTGTGTCGAAACTTGGGAGCAGCATATTGCCGGACCTCACTTATGTTAGAGTAGATGGCAGCATTAGATTGCTTCGAAGCAAGCCTTTGTGCTGATGGCTACACTTGCGATGCCGGTACCCGTGATGCATCACACGGTATTGTATGGGCCCCCAGTGACAGCCTGCCTTCAAGCAACGCATGGGAAGGTGGAGGTACAGCCAGTGCTACGATCGAACCAGCCGACAGCTTCGGAGGGGCCCTTGGGGCAATCCTTGTGGGCAGTGGTGTTGGTGCACCAGTTGATGGAAGCCCATTGGGATTCTCCACCCCCAAAGCGAGCTTGTACGCACCTGCAGGTTTTTCCATGGCCACAACCGTCAGTCCATTTGGTGCCTTCGTCATCCACCTTGAAATTCACTAATGGCAAATCCCATCCTGCGGACCCAACCCACCATGGTGTTGTGGGAACCAGCTGTGACAGTCACAGGACCTGCCTTTGCTTTGCGAAGCAAACTCACAGAATGGTCACGGGTGTGACATGCAGTTCCATTCACTGTATGAATTCGGAGCCCTGGGAGTTGCAGAAACGAGTGTCAGGATTGAAGACTTGTCGATCTAGGACGAGAACCTGTGACCAAACCGCCGATTGAAGATTCCCTGCACTTACCCGCTAAGGATGTCCTGGCACTAGCTCCATTGACCTTCGTAATCTTAGGGAACATCTTTCCGTCGTAGTGTGGATTTCTGCAACCACCGTACGGATCTGAAGAAGTCTTCTTGCCCTCCAGTTCCTGTCCTTTGCGGCCAATCCTTCTCCTTTGACAACCGTCACTGCAACCTGCATACTATTCAACTTCATCTTTTTTTCTTGATATCTATCCTTCTGTCTCTTGTTTTTGTGAGCTTGGACTCTGTTTCGTTTGTGTGTTCTCTTCGTCAGGAGCGTGATGTGGTTCTCATGGCGAATGTGCAGTGGCCTTGCTTCGGGTCGCATCAGGAGATGCATGGTAGCTAGCTAGTTGATTGGCTTTCTCAAAAGGCAAGCCTCAAATTCGGATCTCAGTGATCTCCTCTTCGGGTGCTCGCCATCCGCCATCCTCGTGCATGATGTTGGTATTACCGGTAGGTTCCTTTGAGAGATACTATACGCTGTACCGGTACGGTACGATGAAAAGTGTGATGCGGTTTCGGGATCTGATATTCAAGCCGGTAAGGCTGTAAAACGGTGGCCATTATTCCCGGCACCGTCGGTTGTACCGGTCTCTCTTTTGATCGATGTTTGGTGTTGGCATGTTGGCATCCTGCTCTACCCAGCTAGAGCTAGGTAAATACCACCTCTCCGAGCAAGGAGTTGTATCCTCAAGAGGCTAGCACTGGAGAATCGCAACGTCCGTAGCATTTAGCCTGGAAGGGTTGCTTTACCGGTTGCGATGAGGGCTCCAAATAGCTAATGTCGACTACGTCACTGGGTTGCGACGACTGTCTGGTATATACATGTACGAGAGGGCACTTTGCATTTCTGAAGGGATTCTGGTGGTAGAGAAACGTGAAGGATGGTAACAGATGAGACTTACTATTCGCTTTTCAATGCTGCTATTTTAGTGCAAGGTAATGGAGGGGTGTGGGCACATACATTCGGAGCAATCATTTGCCCTACTGTACCGTACAATCACTGGCTAGCTAACAGGCGGGATGCTCACAGGCAGCGTTTCTCCAAATGCTGCGTTCGCGTCCACAGAGTTCATCAGTTTGTTGCAGAAGTAGGCACTTCCAAGCCACAGGAAAGTGAATATCAGGCAGTAAAACCCAAATCCAAATCTAGACAGGACTCCAAACGCTATGCAAGTTCCCAAAAAGTAGTTTACTGCCACGAACACATGGGAGCAGATTGTCAGCGTTTTGCAGAGTTTTGAAGGTGTGGTGGAGTTCCATCCGTTCCCCATAATGATGCACAGCATATAGCCCGATGAAACCACAACTGTGGCAAAAGAGACTACTCCCAAGTCAAAATCTTTTTCTATTGTGTTTTTCAGGGCCCAACACCAAAAGAAAAGTGCAAACAGTAAAGTCGCCACAAAGAACTGCTGAAGTTTCTGGGTATCGTCCACTGCACACAATAAAAGTCAAGAGAGGAAATGAAATCACCGAGTGTTGTTAGTGGAACATCAAGAGCGCCATCATCACCACACATCATGACATATCAAGGAAACGTTTATCACAAGCACAGAAGATTCTTGGGTGCTCGCCAATGAACAACAGTGATAAAGCTGGGTGGGTCTATTTTGCTACCAAGACTAATACAACAGGACAGGAAAACATGGGAATGACAGGGCAACGGGCACAGATTTTCAAAGAACTCACTTGACATAGTTGGTTTCCTCGCCATTTCTATTTGGCTATCCAATGTGAACATGCTCTCCTCTTCTTTCTTTCCTGACGCCGGTTTATGTTTCGATCTTGTTGGTTCGTAACTTGGACAGAACAGGTCGACGAGTGATCGTCTTCGCGGCTGCTTGTGTTCTTGCGACATGAGTCATGAGTGAATCCTCGGGACCAGTCGAAGCAAGAATTTTTTTAAAAAAGACCCAAAGCATTAACACTGAACAGTTTCATAAGGACAGTACGACCTGTACAGTACCGGTATGCATATTCACCACTCCAAACATCTTGCTCCCGGCTTCCAGAGATGTTTTCAGAGCAGGGAATTAGTTATCTACAGGCTGAATCCAAACTATCTCGACAAACGCAAGCCCGCTCCCGGTATGCGAACCGGAACCTCTTGGAACGTTCCTCGAAAAGACTTAGAGGACTTGTATTAGCCTCAACCCTAAACTCAACTGACATCACTCGCTCGTGTTGAAAAAGGTGTGAACTTGAACGCACAATTTCTCTAATTTAATCAATATCCTTCCAGCTCTACTGTCTAGTAGACTGGCTATTCGTTTCGTTTTCTCTTTCTCTCTCGTTCAGATTGTGAGCTCTACAACTGAGCTCCGATATGCATACATATACCAGGATCTTTCGATCCTCTGCTTCTCGCAGTTTCATCTACAGATAGATCTCGTCGATCTATCTTCCTGAAGTGCATGGTTGGCCCTGGAGGGCTTTCCCACTTTACTAAACCTATGGACCTTCATCCGTCCATTCATTTGCTCCGTCCCATTGCTCCTTGCATTCATCTCTTCGACCTAATCTTCCTAACCTTTGTAGTTGCATCATCTAGACGACCATTGTCCTCGTTCCTCGTACTCCTGGCCATCTGATGATGATCGGATAACCATCTGATTTGAGTCACACATCCCCAATCACGAACCGTGATTGTGGATCCCGTGTCGTCTGTCCGTCATACGAAAATACCTTTCTGACACGCTCGGATCGATCAATCGAAGCCGTAGATACACCTCTTCTTTCATTATTCGATCGATACCTCTATCTTTACTCTATCAAGATGATGCTTCCTCCTCTTCTTTACAGCGGCTACTCCTCTTAACAAAGGCTACTACTCACCACCATGACAGGCTCCTTTTCTTTGCCTAGCTAGCAGCAGCGGCCGTTCGACGATCGGTTGTCCCGTTCGATTGATGATTCGATGGATGACTTCTTTCTTCCACGGAGCCTCTTTCACGGAGCGACCATTACGCCTCCTCTTCCATGGAACGACAATGCCTCTACCGCTAATGCAACAACAAGCGACCAAAACTCCTAGAACAACAAGCGATGGCAACAAGTGACTACTACTACCGCGATGCCTCGACAATGTTTCTTCCGATCTGTATCGGAGCGATGAATTGTCCTCTCGATCAATCGACGGACGCCACTTGCTACAAACAATGCTTCCGCTGCTGCTACTGCTACTACTAATGCAACAAACAGCAGGTACTCTACTACTGTATTGACTTGCCGACTGACTACAAACAAGAAATCTTCTCAATTTTATGAATTCAAGCCAACAATCCCTTTGAATCTTTGGGATGGGTGCTCCAGTCTTCATGCAGAGCCACCCACTTCTCTACCAGACTCTACAGTGCAGATTGAGTGCTGAGAGTGAGGACAGGAGCACCTTTCCCATGGAGAAATGCATGGCAGAATGACAACAAAATGGAATCCAAGCCTGACTTTTCCTGGATGCTCCATAGGAAACCTTGGAGATAGCAAATCCTTTTTCAGGGGTGGCTCTGTGAGTGTGTTGGGGAGCTAGTTCTAGAAAAGGATTTGCTATCTCAATGTATTGGTAAAGCTAATGGCCATTTGGTCAACTCTGTTGCCATGGTGATAAAATTCATTTTCTTTTCTTCAATCTGTTCTTTGTGGGAAGCAGTCATTGCTATGCAGGATTCGCAAAATGACCACTTCTGTTAGAAATGACCGCTTTTGATTTCGGTTTGGCCAAAACGAGAATCCATTTTGACACCTGTCAGCGGTAAAAGAAGTCATCCTGTAGTAGCTAGTACCGGTACACATCTACACCCATGATTTGCTACTGGGCTACAATACGGTATGCTCGGCTCTTTGACCAGCTACGGCTGTACTCATAGCAAAAGATTGAAAAGAAATACTGATAATGTACACTTTTTTGTGGCTGATCATGCGCTCAGCCTACTCTTGAACCGGTCACTTCACCTTTTAGAAGTAAGTCAGAGAGCTCCATGGAATCTTCAATCGAATCCACTGAATGGGACCTCCACAATCCATCTTGCCCTCCACGAGGGTGCTATCAACGCCCACTCTGACCTCTCGAATACCGTACACTTGACTATCCTTTCTCTTATGGTTCTTTCGTGTCTTGTTGGGTCTCAGTTACTGCTTGCTTTACCTTCTGCGAAGTTTCCTCCTCCACTTCTTTGGGGCAAGGGAAGAACTCGCAATCATTCTCTGGGTCGCGACCCACTACAACTCCATCCGAGCATTCCTTCGAGTCTGCGAGGCAAGAACCAGGTGGACAAGCTGCAAAGTTGCAATCGGGTCCCGTGCGAACGACAGTTGTCAAATCCGTGCACATCTTGATGTCTCTACTAGGGCACTGCACTGTCGGATCTTCTTTTTCCGTTGTTGTTTCTTCTGGCTGTTCCGGGACCTCTTCGTTCAGGTCGGGGATGGATCTCCTACAAGTCAAGAAGTCACAATTGTTCTCGGGATCACGTGCCACTTTGGTTCCGTCCGCGCAACGTTTCATATCCATGAAGCAAGTTCCTTTGGGACAGGGTGTAAACTCGCAGTTGCTACCAGTGCGGGTTACAATGCTCAAATCGGAGCAAATTTTGATCTCTCGTGGACATCCTTCGGGCGTCACAAACTCGTCGTCCATGTCATTGTTCTGGGCCTTGCTGGTGCTGCTGACTTGTTTGTTGGTATTATCGTCACTCTGGTTTTGACGGATCACCGCGATTGTGGTGACGGAAGCAATCACCAGGGCAAGGGCCAGTACCACAGTGAGGATGCGCTTGGCCGCAACCCTGGCAGATTTGGAGCTGTCCTGTGCCGCGTTGCTCTCGTCTTCGTCGGGAGAGGCAATGGCAATGTCCACAAGACTGTGTTCGATGGTCCCGTCCGTTCCTTCTGGCTTGTCATACATCATCATGGTGCTAGCTATTAGTTTGGTGTCACTATTGTGCTTGCGTTTTGTATTCCAGTGACGGATGATTGTGCGAATTGGAGATACAAGCTAGTATGGTTCGTTTGGAGCGGAGGCTCTCGTGTGGAACAAAATTTGCCTCGTGGTCTTGGCCGAAAACCAAAAGTCGTCTCGACCAAGCATGGTCGCCTTGGTGTGACTGCCTCGACTCATTCGACTCAATTCGACTGACTCGACTCGACTCCTTTGACTAAAAGCCCAAGGACGCGAAGCCTCTCCCAAAATCGATCTTGTTGGATCTTCTGTGGCCACAAACCATAGCACTTTGTAACCCCCTTTCGACCAAAGCTTCGTTGGGCGAGGCATTTGCATTGAGACAGAGAAGGAGAGTTGAGGCGAAGAAGAGACTGCTCTTATTAGTGGCGGAAACAAGAGCCTGCAAAGTGAGAAGATCGTCAAAGAAGTTTTTAAAAAGAGAAACGATACAGTTGCCAAGATGTTTGGCGGCGCTTCTACCAGACGAGTCGTCCAGAGCTTGGGTGGTGTTGGAATCCGCAGTCTATCATCAAGCCACGCATCAAGATCTCGGTTGTTGGTCCTTGGTAGTCAAGCGTTTCGAAGCTCTCTAGGGGGTTGCACGGGCAGCAGTTCCATTTCAGCAAGGCAATTTCTTGTTCGCAACCAGAATATTGCCGCGCGGTCTCTGTCGAGCAATACATCCGGCGACAACGAAAAAAAGGCAGATGACGGGAAAGCCAAGGATGGCAGCGAAGAAACTCAAATTGTGCTCACTCCTGGCCAAAAAGTGGTGGCGTACTCTCGATTGACCATGTGGGGCGGAATTTTGGCATTTGCTTTGTGTTGCGCCTATTACATTGGCCGAGAACTCTTTCCAACGTGAGTGAAAACAAAAGAATGACAACCCACAAATTACTACTACAACAGCCATGAACAGTGCAAAACTTTGAATGAAAATTTGACATTGGACGAAAGAAGCCTTCTAACAGTTTTTCTCTTCTTTTTTAAATAGCAAAATGAGCCCCAATCGCGTCTTTGATAAAGCCCTTGAAGTGGTACGCAACAATTCCGAGGTAAAGCGACGGTACGGAGATCCCATCAAGGGATATGGAAGAGACCATGGTGGCCACCGCGAAGGCCGCCGCAATTTTATCGAGCACACGGAACGTGTGGATCCGGAAGATGGATCCAATAGAACTCGTGTCAGATTCAATATTGAAGGACCTTTTGGGAACGCCTTTGTCTTTGCCGAGGTTTCCTCCAACATGCCTTCGGGGGAATTTGTCTATGGTAAGTTTGTTTCTGCTATTGATGTTGATGCGTCTTTTGTTGGAATCAATACTTATCGTTTCGTCCCGCATTCCTCTCTTGTACTTACTTCCCCTTGCAGTGCTGGTGCAAGACAAGTCCAATGCTCGTCGTGTTCAAACTGTAATCGACAATCGAGCAGCATTGACTGCCTCCCGTCTTGCTGGTGGAAACAAAGAAAGCATGGCTGCCATGTCGCAACTGCTTGGTGGAGGAAAGAGAAGTAACTAAGGCCACCTACATACGGTACTTTCTTCATGATCTTCTTTTTTAAAATGGCTTGATATTAATCCAATCGCATCGTTCCGTTGGTGGATGCGTGGGTGCGTGTATGGACTACCGTAATGTCGGGAAGGAAGTTGATCACACGCAGCACTCTGCTCTCGTCATTCGACGGCTCCATCTTTCGGGACAGATTGAATCAATCACACATGTTCTTGCGTAGGACGTACATGTCGTATCTCTTGTACCATGGTGGTTTTATCATCAATTCTTGCAAAGCAAAAATTGTCCATATTTGGTTCCTCTTTCCGAGCATCGACACGTCCCAGACCTTTGGTTTTCATTGGCGGCTAGCTATAACTTCATCTAAAAGGATAGGTGAACCTGAGCCCAATCGAATTTACATGTCCGGTGCAATTCTATTTTCTCATCGTCGGTGTTCGAAGCAAACTCGCTGCACCAAAAAGCACAGGCACCGTTGGCGACGGTTGAAGAGTGATATCCGACGAATTTGGTCATGCCGTTCCTTTTTACCTAAATTCTTTGGGAACTCATCCAAGATTGGTACATTGGGTGGGTTTGGTTTCTCTCTCCTTTACCACAGTACATTGTAGCATTTTGCTCCTAGCTATGAGCTCATCGATTCTGGGCTGGCGGAGGCTGCGCTAGCTAGCTGCTTGTGGTCATGGAGAGAAAGCAAACTTAATTCATGGCCACGAAGGACCATTGGTTGAAAAATACACGTACAATTCTAAATAAAATGCTATGTACAAGACGCCCCTGATCGCTAGGGGATACTTTGCTTTTTCCTGCGTCGCGTCGGAGTTGCCCAACTTCAAGTAGTACTAGTATACTTTGCTTTTCCGCTACTACGCAGAAGTGCTGAGCAGGCTCTGTTGTGACAAACTCTGTTGTGATCGGTCGGACGATCGGAACCAGTTTTTCACAGCCGACAGTGGCTTGTGAAAGAACCGGTCCGATGCTTCCGCGGCGTCACTTCGTGCGCGTTGGTAGGCAAGTTCTTGTTGTTTCTGTGACACCTTGCGGTATTCCATGGCGATCAGTTCGTCCGCATTATGTACGACGGCGTTGTCGAGCGCTTTGAAGGCGTGCTGTCGCAATTGTTCACCTAGTACGGCTTCCGATGCCTTGGAACGCTCTGCTCGTCTTCGTTGCATGCCTTCGTACGTACAGTGTTCGAGGCCTCGTGGAAGATCTATCTTGTTGCTTCCGTCTAATACACCGGAAGCTTCTTGCATCATGCCCTTCATTTCGTCTTCTCCGTACCAACAAGCTTCTAGGATGTCATCGGGCAATTCGTCGACCGGCTCGATGAACTGAACGTGTGGTTCCGCGTCAAAACAGACACATTGAACCTTCGCCCTCATGTCGCTGTGAGACGAACGAAGGCTTGAGGTCAGCATCATGTTGTCACCTGCAAACGGGGGCATTGCAATCCGATTTGATTCAACGCAATCAAGAGAGAGCGTGTAATGGATGTGTGTCAAGTTGGCTGTCCTTGGCTTCAATGATTCTCGCTCTTGCTGTGGCAAAAGAAATGAGTTGGGAGCGGTTTGGGGTTTCACTTAGCCTCAAACTCACTGGGGCTGTGTGGCCGTGCTGTTGTTGCTGTGCCGGTTTCAATGGAAACGCACCTGACTGCACTGATTGAAGATGAAGCAGTTACCGAAGAATCGACGTCAAAGCTGCATGGCCGAAAATCTGGCCACTGATTTTACAGTACGAGTACCGTACTACATGTAGCTACCAGTAGCTACTGAGTACTAGTACGGTACTACTAGTACTACTAGTACAGCCGTACGTGTACCTGGTACAGTAGTCCACCATTGAAACTTGGAAACTGGAGAGGACGACGCCTTTCGAATTCGCACCGATGACACAATTATGACCATGGAATATCCAATCAAATGATGCTCCGAGTCACAACCATAAGTAGAGTCTGCATGGAGCCACTTTTATGCATCATTTATGTCATAAGCACCAATACCAGATTTACATCATGTATGTACAGTATTGACTGGGTCAGGTGAGGACCAGGGATGGAATGGTTCCTTTCCTACTATTAATAGCTTGCTAGCTAGTCTAGTCTAGCTAGTAGATAGAAAGATGACCAGGGTGGGTCTAGCTACGGTACGGTAGGAGTGCCCTACTGGTAGGTCCTGGATCCTGGAGTACATGTAGGTCCAGGTGTTGGACCAGGGGTGGGGAGTGCTAATGGAGAGGCCTTCATGTCCCGTTGTCAATACTAGTTTTTTTAATTTGAAGCTAGCCGCTCTGCTAGCTAGAATATCATGCACGCGGTTGGCGCTACCTGTAGGACTCGGCTCACATTGGATTATGGAGGGTTTTAGGAACTTGATTGGCTGTCTATTTTCACTCCTGAGGCACCTCTGTTGTTGCTGGATGCATTGAAGAAGGGGACAAAGAAAACAAAAAGTGAGAATGGAAAAAATGAGAGGTACATTCTCAGTGGAACAAACAACAAACTGGGTGTAATCCATTTGAAGGCTTGTCGAAGATGAAAAGCGAGAACTACCTTTTTAACGACTTATTACCGCCCTCTCTTCAAAAGACATTTGACAAAACTGGCATCAGGCTACTGTTCATGTCTTGGACGATTCATCTTCATAAAAAAACGTGGAACCTTTTAGTTAACACCCCCACTCACCTCTTACCCAAACCAATCAAGCAACACCTCTCCAAGCGACCGGTCCTACCAACTACCAAGGACGCGAAGACCAGGAATGAGCAAAACCTATTAGGACTTACTTTGATCCATGGTATCGCCCTCTTGACCTAACCGCTCCGGTACCACCAAACATACCGGTACGAGATTCGGAGCAGTAACACCAGCCATTCCTGCACCTTGCTTGGCTGGGATACAAGGGCAGGTTGACCTCCACCTTGGTTACCTTGTAGTAGCCCAAGCTATCGGTCTTTGTGTATTCAAGGCCCCCTTCGGATACACTACAGCACTGTCGCCTATGTTCGCAAGTGGCCCAAGAAGTGAACCAAGCAGCCAGTGCCTTTGCAGCCAGAGGGAGGCAGGAATCAATCAATGTTGGGGCGGGCTCCAGGTTTGCTGCTCTCTAGAGCAGCCCTTGCTTCTGTTTCAACCAGCGGGGCTACCGGTAAGTACCTTGCCAGAGGTGACTCCTCTTGCTTTCTTCAGCGTTCTCGACAGTCTCAGACCTATGATACCTACAGACTTACACGAAACTTTTAAAAAATTACGGGCACAATTGGAGCACAAGAACACTTGTGGGCCCCAAACGGTCCCCTCGCGATTTCCGAAGGGCGCCATTTCCGCGCGCCACGCGCCACATCTAACCGTTGCGTCTCCGACCAATGCTGAAGTTGCCATGGTCATTCAATGCTGTGGCTTCATTGATGCTGTGGCTTCTCTCATTCGAAATGCATCTGTCCAATCTATGGTTGTGCTAATTTTTCCTAGTTAGTAGAACCTATCAATAGTTAGAGTGCACCATGCCTCGAAGAAAGCTACGCTTGAAGCTCAAGCCAATAACAACTCCTTCAAGTAGCAATGATCAAGTATCCGATCCACAGAGCCAAGCACCTCCTTCAACACCAGGGCGAAGGACTAGGCGCAGTGGCAATGGTCAGAGCCATTCCTTGGTGGAATTGGAAACCATGATTCAAGAAAAGCATCTGACATATCCAGGATGGGACGACGACGTTCGTGAATTTCGAGCCTTGCACGAACGATATTACGGGCATCCTCAGCAAGGAGAGAATTCCTCATTTTCCCATCAAGACACCATTCTTGGAGACTGGGTTCTTGCCAGTCGTCTTCAGGGGATGCAACACAAACAGCAAGCGTATGTAGGAGATCGATCCCACTCCTACGTGAAGGCTCTGGACGCGTTGGTAGTCCACTTGAGTTATCCTGGCTGGCCACAAGATTTTCAATTGGCCCTGCAAAGTCATTACCAACACGACAACGACTCGAATCGGCAGAAGGCTCTCTTTCGCATGCAGCAGCGGCAAGCTGTCTTTAAAGGAGACCGGAGTCATCCGAGGTTGGTAGAATTGGATCAAATTGCGACCAGTTTGACCTATCCTGGACATGCACGGGACTTTCGACAATGCGAACAGTTGCACTTTGAATACACGGATGATTACATTGGCAACAATGTATTGACACGACAATTTCAATCGTTGCGCAACCGACAAGCTCACTGGGACGGTACTCTTGCCTGCAAGGAATTGGAGTCTCTCCGGTCGCAGCTGACGTATGATGGTTGGCAAGAGGACATTCATACGGCCATGGAAGCGCACTTGCAGCCATGCAGTATTCTGGAATCTTCGGGCCACGTCATGGACTCTACCACGGCTTTGCATCATGTCCAACACAAACAATCGGTATTGGCCGACCGAGATCGATCTCATCCTCGATTAGTCGCACTGGACCAATTATTATTACAACTGGAACCAGATTATTTGACCAACACTCCACAATGCCAGCAGCTTGTCCAAGAATTGGAACAAGTGCATTTGCGGTACTCCACAGATGATTGGGTGGGCAATGCCATTTATGAACGTCTGTTGCAAGCGTTGCGCCGTCATCTCAAAGCGCAAACACCAAATGGATCCATGCCGTCCACACCTTGCAAGAATGGCATTTTTGTCGAAAAGAAGGCCAACAACAAGATTGGTTCGCCCTCTTCCATTGTCACGGCATCTACGATATCCGCATCCTGGAGTCGTGATAGCGACGACATTTGTGAGGATGATACTATCATGGACGACGGCACGCAGCAAACAGGCAACTTGAGGCTACTTACTTCATCATCTTGACGTAACAACACGATGGAGAAACTTATGTATTTCATACGGTAGGCACAACTCAACTCGATTTTACATGGCCTTCCAAGAAGACAGAGTTGTCAATCTAAATCTAGCTAGCTATTCCAGTTAGAGCGCATGCTTGAATCAATGAATGGAGGTTACGTGAATTATGTATTTGGTACTACTACTTCTTACATCACTTCCGGTACATGTAGTATCATAAAATCAGGTGCTTGCTTCAAGGACCAAGGACATTTTTTACCTTGTAGGACATGATGCCAGACTTTTGAACCAACAGTTCGTTGAACATGACCTGCAACTTGTCCGAACACAACACAAACGCCAGGACGATCACTGGATCGATCCCAGGTGCTACTCGACAACCCCACATTTTGCGGGGTTCTTCGGTGAGATAGGCAGCACACACCATCTTCTTTTTAGGGCTACCGCTAGTATCTTGGGCATAGTGAATGACGGCATCTTCGGGCCCAAAGAACTTGGATCCACATTTTGCCATTTTGTAGCAAGGACCACCCTCCACAGACAGGAAATGCCTGGCAATGTGCTGGTTTTCCGTGACCGTGGCATATTCCAAGAGCAACTTTCCGTCGTACTCTCCCACTACTCGTCTGCCGGAAGCACTCTCATTTGCCAGTGTGCAAATTTGAATGTGTTGATACCGTTGTACCTGCAGCACCGCCAGAACGGTACCAGTTTGCGTATCCTTGATGATGCACTGCTTGTTGTTTCCCTTGACAGGGACGACAGTTAACCCCACAATGTCCAAGGAGACACCCTGACTCCACGCTTTCTTGGGAACGGAAAAGCTGTATTCCAAAGGTGGCAACTGTCGCGTCGTGTAGAGAGGCTTCTTCAACGGGTGGTGGCGCACCGAAAAATCTTGATCCGTGGGAACGGGAGTGGAATGTTGGAGGCCCATGGTTTGTGCTCTTGACTTTGCTTTGACTTTCGTTTACGTTCCTTTATACCATCTCTATTGGTTCAGAATTATGGTTGCTTTCGTCGTTCTGGGGGTTGTGTACCACAGGAATGTATCCAAGACTCTAGCTGATGGCAAAAAGAAGAGCTTTCCACTCATGTTGATCTTTGTGATTTGTGAAGGGTTCTTGAGGGGAAAATGGGCCTCGTGAGGTTCCTGAACCTTATCTAGTTAGGAGAAAACCTGAACCCTCACCTAAATACCCTTTTCAGACCACGGGAAGGTCTTTTTTGATTTCACTGGAGATGGGAGAAGACCAAAAGTGTCCAGTCCACCAACCAGCTTCGACCAGTTCAGCGATGTCACTCATCCTCATGCGGAGGGAAGCATACTACTATCTAGCTAGTAGTAGTAATAAGCAAACAGCTAAGCAATTAATTGCAAACTCACTTCTTGTGGCACACGCTTCGCCCGACAGCGATTCACACCAACTATCAATAGCTATCATTGTACGTGTTACGTGTACCAATACACCAATCTTGGGACCCTCATTGCATCCATTGAACACAGCCATACGACGACAGCAGTCTATTTCATTCATTTGAATTTAGTCAAGGCCAAGAAGAACCTGACAGCAGCTTTACAATGTACATTTTCAGGAGGAGCGATTCGATGTGCTCAGTGGTGGAACCACCACACAAGACGACAATCAGTAGTAACAACAATGGTGGTGATGAGTCCTCTACTTTGGACAGCCGAAGGTCTGCCAAGACATATCCTCCGAGTCGGTCTCAGCAACGAATGGATGCATTTCTGCAGCAGTCATCTCATGCGTCGGCGTCATCGTCATCACCATTGAATCAATCCTATCATTCCGCCCCGTTGCGATCACTGCCGGAACGCAGCAATGAACCACTCGACTTTGGAATACACCAACGAGCGGCAGAAGGGTTGCGGTATACTGTCTATGATTTGGTGGCGCTTTCGGCCGAAGACAAATCGTTTCGTCAACTCAAATCGACGCTGCGCCAGAATGGAGCCGTGACGAACGAAATGCTGAAACAGGGCTTGCCGCTCTTTCTGCACAAGAACCGAAGTACCATTTTGAGACGGTACTTTCGAGAACTCGACAAGGAACGAGCAAAAACCGAAAAGCGAATGTCCAGAGCATCCTTTTTGAGGGCCGATGCCAGCATGCGGGATGCCAGTACCAAAAGTACCATGAGTTTTCGAAAGTCAGCCTTTGGGTTTGCTGGGTTTCTTTGAATTAATCATGATTATTCTATGGTTGCTGGTGAATGATCTGATGATGAGGAGGAGGATGATGATGATGGAATTGGTAATGAATACAATACAACAGAATAAAAGACGAGACGATGTACACAACAGTCCTTGTTTCCAACAAACAAGCAAAGATGGCAACGACGCTAGTTGCAAAACTGCTGGTCAAATATAATTATATTATTATTGGGCCTCTACACTGCTACTATAATACATGTAATGCCGCTCCAGGCGAATGAAACAGTTGAATAATTAAACGATACCACTCGATTGGCAATGGCTTTTCCACTAAATGGTGTCACACACAAAGTAGACCGAGACGTACGGTAGTTGCAAGCGGAAGCTTGACTGCCAGCTTCCAGGTAGAGAATACCATACCGCTACCTCAGCGCACCAGTTTCAATCCACCCTGTGGCACTGCGGTCGATAATGTTAGAATGCATAATGGTACGACGCAAACTTTGGTTGATTCGATTCAATCATGCGATTGTTTCAAAGCAAGCGAGCAGCTGAGTTGTGTCTCCACTTTTTTTAAATAAGGCTTCGGCAGCTCACGATTGTGACATACAAACCAGCGCATGTAATGCAGATGATCAAAGCCCTCGTCCAAAGTTAAATGTTGGCTTTTCATGCTATCCCCCAACAGTGATGTACAGTCAAGTCAGCTGTATACTCTAGCTAGCAAGTCTTTACTGTAGCCAGTTTTCTTCCATGGCCGATAGTGCATGTACCTTTCATTGACGGCATTGATTGATGATTAGAAACTTGAGCTCGTTGTAGGCCCGTAAACTACAACAAGATGATACTAGAATATATAATGGTCAACCCGTCTATTTCTTTGCTTTAATTGTGCTACTGTACATTCTATCTCTACTTTTAGCCTCTTCTCTCCCTTTCTGTCTACTGTGGATCCGCTGTAGTACCGAGCCATCCAAAGGAGAGACCTCGCAGGGTTTGCTTAAAGCCCTTCAATACGGTCCCACCACCAGCGTTGTGATTTGCCTTGTTGTCGTCGTCATTGTCATTGTCGTTGTCGTCATGACTGCTTGGCAACTGCTGTAGTTGTAGGGGAAAGACGGCCACTTGATCCATGTATCCTCGTGCATTGGCCAATTCTTGACAACGTTGCGACGTGTTGGTCGAAGCACGGTACAAAAGTTCGTCGTCACATTCCTTGTTGTACTGCTTTTGCCGTGCTTGTTCTCTCAATACGGCCCCCACGGTCCGTTGACGATGATCTCGTCGACTCGTCGCGCCAATCCACGTAAAGGGCTCCAATCCCCTGGCGCCTTCTTCCTCGGGATGCATATCACACGCCGATTTCATGGCTCCTTGAATCATGGCATGCTTTTCCATGCGACTGTACCAAATGTCTTCGGCTTGTTCTTCGGTGTATTCCAGTCGATTCGGGATGAACAAAATGTTCGGTTCGAGATCAAACACCACGCAATGCACAGGCCGAGCGGCAGAGAACATGATGCAATCGTCGTCGTCGTCGTCGTCTTCTTCTGGGAGTTTGCGCCTCTTGCAATCGTCGGCTTGTTCGGCGGGGCGTTTGTTATTCAGGTTGGTCGTCATTCTCGAAAAGCAAAGGCGAAACTGGTAGGGCCGCTCAAAAATTTGTTGTTTCCTATGTGTTATTTGTGTTGTGATTTGTTGATTAGGTAGCCGTTGCCGATTTTGTGACCAGGCATGCAGACAAGCGGACAAGTGGCGGCCCGGGAAGAGGTGCGATTCTCGGTGAGATTGCTTCTGACTTAGAGGTAGGTCATAATGACTGCAAGAATTCTCTTTCCGGTCATATGCTTACTGGGCAGTACAATTTCCTAGACGGTCTCCGTGTTCTCCGTTCAACTTGTTGTGACCCAGTGATGACACGATGACACTCTCGATCTTGCTTCCCCGCGCTGGTTTACACAGTGACCAAGACAAATCACTCCTCGGTTGGTGGATGGTGGTTGGTGCGGTGGGGCCGGCACTTCGCGAAGTTGTGCTATTGGCAGGCAGGAACACGTCGACTGCCATTGCTTTGCCTCGATCTCTGCAATCTATTCCTGCTTGTAGACTTACACAAGATACTTCCACTCTGCAGTAGACTAATTGCCTCGAATCGATCGGTACAGTACCAACCTTGCTTGCTTGAGAGCCTTGCTTGAGAAAGCTATAGATACCCAGCAAGCAAAGAAGGATCTCTCCTATAAGCAACTCATAGCAAGATCGACATCATGGGAAAGAGCGACAGCAAGTTGGATCGGTACCTGAACGGCCTGGTGTTGGCGTCCACCTTTGTGGTGGTATTGCTGGTGCCTGATCACCTAGCAGCCATGCTGCTGCCCTACCTGGCCATCAGTGAACAACGAGTCACGACAATTGCGGTGGACAAGAACACAGGGCATTTGCTGAATGTAGATGTGGCCGGTTTGTCCCAGAATTGTACCAATGCGTGGAAGAGTCACCAGCAAACAACAGCAGAAAAGGCAACCGCCACCACCACCAAGACAACAACCACATACCCTGGAGATGGAGTTTGTTCGCTCGTGCCTGCCGACAAGTCGTCATCCCATTTGTGGAATGAACACTTGACGGAAATTCTGCACGCTGCCTCCTCTTTGGAGGAAGAGGATATTGCCAGTCATTTGGTAACTTCCAAACTCCTCCAATTTTTGACGCCCTCGCGGTATTTGGAAATTGGACATCGAGCTCAGCCATCCCGACAAGCATGGGGGAATCTGTTGGAAAAAGTTCATGCTCGCATGACATCCAAAGATGCACCCGTGGTCAGAGTTGTAGTCTTTGGGGCGGTGCCTCATTCCTGCAGCAATAATCATCATGAACCCAACGAAGAGCAAGGCCAGGATTGTTTGTGGCCCGTGCGATTGGAACATTTAATCAATTCCATGCTCCGCAGCGGTGATGCTGACAAGAAACGAAAAATTGTCAAGATTACACCCAAGTTCCATCCACTCGTACCGGTCACTACCGAATTCGATACTGCCATTGTCAAAAATGGACTCTGGAAACAACAACCCGATGTTATCATCAGTTCCTTCACGGCAGAGGACATGTACCTGCCCAAGCGAGGATGGGATACTGCCACGGATATCAACTATTATCATCACCGACGTCAGGTCATTCAGGAATTTATCCGAGCCTGTTTGGACCTACAACCCTGTCCACGACAACAGTCTCCTCTACTCATCAACATTGATGATTATGTGGTCGGAAATGCTCACAACAATCAACTTGTACAACTCGGACCGGTCTTGGCAGAAACCACGCAGGCAAGAGTCCTCCAATTGCTCTCCGACTATTATGGGACGGCCCTTGTCAGCTACGCCGAAGTCGTTCGAAAACTCGTTTACGCATCGAAGAATCTTCACTCTCCCTTGGTACAAAACCTTGCCAAGACTTTGTCATCATCCGACAGGCAACACGGCACGGTCGATTCGGAATATTTGGGCCCGATTGCCATGACGCTAACATTGGCATATTCCTTTCTGAAATACACGGTCACTTACTGCTCGGACCAAGCCATTCATAAGAGTGACGAGGAAAATCCTATCATTGCCCTTTCCATTCGGCAGTTGGCTGAAACCGTGCCTCCTCAACTCAACACGGACCTGTGCTTGACCAACGTGACCAAATTTTGGGAAGAGGAACATCAACACCGAAACGAACATTGCAGTGGCGCAGAGCTGGTGGCAAGGGCAACCGCCGCCACCACCAGCTCGTGCGCCTTTGCATTTTGGGGTAGCACTCAAGCCACAGAACAGGACCTGGAGGGGTACCTGACCAAGTTTGTGTCTGACAAACGAGGGTGGGAAGCTCGGCCGGGGGGTCAACTCGTGGCAACTCAAAATGGAGCCGCTGTCAGTTTCACATTCCCTGTCCCTTCCGCAAGCCAGCAGCAGAAGAGATGGTCCATTCAGCTATTCTCCACGGTAAAAGATGCCGCTGCATCGTCTGTTGCCTCCAAACTGAAGTGGGAAGTATCTGCAAGAGGCAAGCGGCGGTCAAGACGTCTGGAACAGCAACAAAACGCAACCAGCACATCAACTTCAGGAATCGTTGAGGGTACTCACGATTCTCCGCACACGGTAGCCTTACCCTCAACCATTTGGTTGGACAATCTACAAGGCATGGTACCATCCCATGTTGACTTGAAACTGGAACTCGTTGAGGGAGACGAGTTTGAAATTGTCGCCATGATGTTCTGTAGTAGTGATAGTAAAAACTAGCCGTTGTTTGTAGCGTTGTCCCCACGCTGATGATGAAGCTCGTTGGATACAAGACAAAAAAAACCGCATTGTGACTAGCTAGCTATCACTGGTACTTTCTTGGCTCCTGTGCATAGCCAAGTGGGTGAGTAGAGGCCGAGGGATGCATTCAAAAATGTCCTCCAAGGGTGGAGGAAATTGATCACTCCAAAACTTCCATTGATCCGTGCAGCAGAGGATAGCCGTCCCGGACTCTTGGCAAGTCTCTGCTAACGCTTTTGTGCCCACCTTGTTGACAAACTGATCCTCCATGACACAATCTGCTCCCACGATTACGACATTTACTTTGCCATCGCGAATGCGTTGCTGCATGTCTTGATCCTCAATGCATTCGACCGATACAGCAGATGGAGCAGCTGCGACTGCTTGGGACAAGTCCTGTGCCATGAGTTCTCCTTCGCCCCCCGGTATACTTTTGCCACAGAGAATTTGGATGTTGATCGTCTCTCTTGCTTCCCTCTTCTCCAAGAATCTCTGGAGCAGCTTGAGAATAGTGGATGATCGACTAAAGGTGCCAATAGTGAATGACGATGAGTCATCGTTCGCCGCACAATTTTGTTTGCTTTGTTGTTGATAAAGAGTAGTCAAGCAGTCCACCCCCAGTTGAATCGACCGGTCCCCTTCTTCTTTCAATGACACTAGAATGGATTCGGCTACACTGTCGTCAGCTGGTTGTTGTTGCTCAAATGCTTTCAATACATTGACAATGGGTACCATGGAGGGTCTCAGCATTGTCATTGTGGAAGCGGAAGAGGGATACTGTTTGGCCAATTCCAATGCCTTTCTGGCGAGAAACGCGGCCCCGTTGACTCGATCCTTGGACCATTGCCACACGGGTTCTGGCAAGGCGTCGTGACGAAGAAACGCGCCCGCAGTGGCATGATGAAAGGCCGTGGCCAAGCCTGGCACTGCGGGCTCCAATTGTTCCAATTCCTCCACAGAGACAAATTGAATATAGTCGTGTTCGGTTCCTCTCATTTCCATAGCAGCTGGCCGTGGAAGATGCACCACAAACGGATAGACTCGAATTTTTCGGTTCTCCTTAAAGGGGACATCGACGTACAGTCCACCCGTTGGGACAAAGATGCAAGACGGGCCTTGCTTATTTTCCGTCTCCTTGTTGGGGACCAGATTGGTTTCTTCTTGTAGTTCTCTGAGAGCCGTTTGCCACGGTTCTTCGCCTTGTTCCATGGAGCCACTGATTCCTGCCCAGTGAGAGGCAAATGTGGGCATGGTGTCCTTCCTCCGAAACACAGCTATGCGCAGATTTTCTCGCGTCGACGGCGACGAGGACGACAAAATGAAGCAAGTGACAACTCGTTTTACCGACACGGCGACGGAGGATGCTACAATCATCTTTCTCGATTGTACGGTACCCGAAATGATCTCACGCTCTAGCTAGCTAGTAGTTTCGCCCTTGTTCTTTTACTTTTTATGGTTGCTCTGGCTCCTTGCACTCTCAACAAAGCTCCACTCTTTCGGTTTTGTCATTTTGTTTGTCAATTGTTGAGGTTGTTTTGTGTCCAGGTGCACAAATTGTGAGCTTATTTTAAGATTAAGAAAACGTACTACAATAGCACTGGTGCCTATCCTCGACAGTCGCCACCAGCATGTAGGGGCTCTGCAATAGCTCAGCGAGTCGTGCTTCCAAAGTATGGTCGCACTAATCGAATGTTGATGGGCTCGATGTAGTTCCTTCGCTGAATATGAAGAGTTCCTGATGCTTTGTTGAAACTCACCACCTTGAAAGGGCCAACGTTGAGTTGCATCTTCGGATCCATCGAACTGCTCTTAATCAGAACGTGATCACCCTTCTTGTAGTTATGGGCAATCCTTCTTCGGTTTCTCGAGTGTTTTCACTTGGATCGCTGCTTCTCTGCGTTGTCGAACACGTTCGACGTCCGCCTCCATCTTAGTCCTCAGAATCATATCTCTCTGGTAAACCAGTTGAGATGGTGAATACTTGGTCACTCCATGGACAGTTGCTCTCATAGCATAGGCCGCCGCACTTGTCAGATCCTTGATGGGATCTTCCTTGAGGTGCTTGGTTGCAATCTGGACACGAAGCATGTCTCCTAAGACTTTGTGCATTCGCTCCACAATGGCATTCGCTCTTGATTCTTCGCAGTGATTGGTTCTGGCTTAACGAACCATCGGGTACATGTAGCATGAAAACTTCTACAGTCAAACTCGCCACCTTGATCAAAGATAACTCGGCTTGGTCGTGGATACCGTCGTAGCCACTCCTGAATGAATAGATCCGCAATCGTCTCACTCTTCTTGGTCGTGATTGGAATGATCTCGGGCCATCCAGTGAAAACATCAATGATCGTAAGGGTATGAAAGATTACTTCCTTGTTGTCCACCGTTGCTTTCCACGGTCCGGAAAGGTCCACTGCCACGTCCTTCCATGGCTCGGTCTCTGGATCTTCAATGGAATCTTACCGTAACCTCGCATTCCTCGCTTACCTAGTTGGCATGCATGACAGCTCCTAATGTAGGTCCGAATCTGTTCTAACATCTTCGGCCACGTGTAATGTGTCGTAAAGTATTGTACAGACGGTTCACTCCGGGATGAACTAGAGTGGTGTGATACCACTCCATCAATCGTTGAGTCAATGCCGCCGGCACAATGATGCGGTGGTCTCCATCTACCGCATCTGTCTCAGTGATGACCCTGTCAGGTCCGCTCTTTCTTCCGATGTCTTCGAAGAACTCACCAAGACGGTCTGGTGCTTGCTGCCTGAGGGTTTGCACATATTTGTCATTCTTCTGTGCTCGCCCAATTTCAGCAATCGTTAGAGGCTGATAGAATTGCCTCCATGTTCGAGGAGTCATCTCGAAAGCTTCCTCCACCAGCGCGAAAGCTTCTTCCTCGGTCATCTCCTTCTCACTTCCAGAAGATGGAATCCTAGACAGTGCATCCGCCACCACATTCTTTTCTCCCTTGATGTAGTGGATGGTTGGTGCATAGTCTTGGAGCAAAAGACGCCAGCGCATCACTCGAGCATTGCGCAGGGTCTTGTCGTAAGCCCAGTTCTTGTGGTCGGTATAGATGTCGATGGGATAGCCGTAGACCATCGTCCGAAACTCTTTCAATGCTTCCACAATCGACAGCATTTCCTTTTCTCCGACCCCATAGTTCTTCTGTGGGCCAGTCAGCTTCTTCGAAAAGAAGGCCAATGTCTTCTTTCCTTGCTTGAGCACTGCACCGATCTGCTTGTCTGATGCATCGGTGTAGAGCTGGAAGCGTTCACTGTAGTCCGGAAAGGACAAGAGAACTTCCTTGCTGACTATTCGTTTCATCTCATCAAAAGCTACTTGTTGCCGGTCAGTCCATCGAAATGGCATGTTCTTACTGATCAGCTCAGTCAATGGGGATAGCACATGACTGCGATATCTCCACATGAATCGGTAGTAGTTCACCAATCCTATAAATCTTCGTAGCTCTCGCTTGTTCTTTGGTCTCTCCATATTCATAATGGCCGAAACCTTCTTTGCCTGTGGCTTGGCTCCTTCTCGGGTCAAACGGAATCCTAAGTAGTCGACTTCCTGCACTGCCCAGTACGACTTGAGGGCATTCACCGCCAAGTTCTTTGACTTCAATCGCTCCAAAGCCAATCGAACTTTCTCCAAGTGATCCTCATAGGTTCCGTTGGAGAATATCAACAGGTCGTCAATGTAAACACGTACGAAAGGAATATCCGCAAAAAGCTTTGCCATTCGTTCCTGGAAAACATCAGGGCTTATGCTCAGTCCCATCGGCAGTCGCCGATACTTGTAAAGTCCAAAGGGTAGCATAAACGTTGACATGTCGCTCAGTTCATCATCCAAACGGAAGTGGTAGTATCCCATACTCAAATCCAAAGCTGTCACATACGTGTACGGACCAACGTCCTGGATCAGGTCCGTGATGTGTGGCATTGGCCAAGGCTTCCGTCTTATACGCTTGTTCAACTCACGGTAGTCCGTGATGAAGCGTACTCGTCCATCCTTCTTTGGGACAATGAAGCTCGGAGCACACCAAGGGCCTGCTGTAGCCCCGTCTACTATTTCAAGTACTCCAATGTCTACTAAGCGTTGAACTTCTTTCTTCAAGGTCTCCAGGTGTATGTGTGGTATCCGGATAGGCTTGCCGCAGTGATAGGGCACGGCATCTTTGGTCAGTTCTACGGACACCTCTTCATCAGGCCATTCTCCAAGTGTTCCTTGAAACAGGTCTTCGTATTCAGCGAACAACTTGTGTAGGGCATCGCGCTCATCTACTGAGAGATGTACCTGGTCTTTAGCAACTCGAAGGAGGTCTTGCTTGTCGTACTTCGAGTCCATAATCTGCTGTGCGTGGCATTCCCAATGGTCTTGCGCACAGTGAGATTCCCAGAATTCATCGATCACCGAGCTTGGATCTTCATCGATTAGATTGATCTCATTCTCCAGTCGATCAATGTCGGTTTTGGTTTCCTCTATGTTCTTCATTGCCATCCGCATTCCGTCCCATCGGATGACTTGTTCACTGAAGAGTAGGTCAATTCCATAACGGTTCATGTAGTCACGTCCAAATATAAAGTCATACATTCCTAATTTGCCTTCCGTCACTTGCACTTTCAAATTCTGCAGAACTCTTCGGCTGTTGAGTTCCAGAATGCGATGTGCTCGAATCCGTGCAGAGTGCTTGGTGCTAAACACGCCAGCAGCCGTGTGATACTTGTGCTCCCGATTGTTCCTAAGTGTCAGGCCAGCACGATCAATCGCCGCTGTAGTTGCCATGCATCGGTTGGTACCGGTGTCTAAGAGAACGCGGAATAGTTCTTGGCGTCCCGTCTTCTTGTTATGTATCGCAATGATCACCACTGTAGAGGGTATCGATTGTTGGTCCTCTGTCGAAGCAATGGAGTCATCGTCGCTAAGTTGATCATCTTCTAGCTCTTCTTCCTGGCTAAAAATGCTCGCGACCATAGCCCTGGTAGCCATAGCCGCAATCATAGTTGTTGTCATCATCCATCAATTGGTAGCCCTGTTCTTCCTGATCCTGTCCATCGTCATCTTCATCGTAGACATAGAACTGATCGTTCCATTGATCCACCAATTGCTCTTCTGCCTCATCCTGGTAGTAAGCCTGGTCCTGTTCTTCTCTGATGTGGTATTGCTCATCCTCGGCTTGCTCCCACTCTTCATCATCTTCTTCTACTGTTTCCACCATGGGTTCATGATAGAATGCTTCATTCCGTCTTCGTGAAGCGTAGTATCCTTCACTTCGTCGTGGAGGTTGATTTCTGCCTCCACCATTGCCAGAGTTTCCGCCTGGCCTTGGCCGCCAGTTGTTCTGTCCTTGGAAGGGTCGTCGATTGTTTCGTTGGCCACCGAAATGTCCGCCGACTGCATTCCCTCTCGTCGAGTTTCCTGTTCGACCGCCTGAGTTGTAGGATCCTTGATACCGCGGTGGTTGGTACCTACTAGGTTGCGCTTGTCTGTTGCCATATCCTTGGCTATGATTATTCTGGTATCGGTTGGGACCTGCCGGTCTATTTCTGTTTGATTGGTTGTATCCTTGTCTGAATGGGCCTCTTTGTTGCATGTCTGTTTCGAAATCCTTGATTGCCGCCTCGCGCAGGCATTGTTCTTCCACGTGGGGTCATTCTTGCCGATCCTCGGCGGTTTCTTAGTTGTTCATTAGTTTCCAATAGGGTGAAGAAGTCTATAATACTGCTGATCTCCCCTTCATCTCGGTATTTGTGTCCAATGTCTTGTAGACGCAGTCTCTGCTGCCATTCCAATGGGACTCTTGTTGTCACAATCCGTCTCAATTCGGTGTCACTTAAGCCACCTTCGTTCCACCAGTCTTTGAAGTTAACGCCGCCGCCGCAGTGTCGTTTCAAAGCATTCATGTCCTTAATAAAGAACTTCAAGTATCGATTCATCGTCTGCAATCGCAGCCACCACTGCTTTGTAGTCAAACCCATCGGCTTGATTCTTTCTCTCATGTAGTTTGTTTGCTCATTGTACGCGTCATCTTTCAGCACTACCGTACACATGAACTTCGCCATTGTCGTCTTGTATGCTTCCCAATCTGTCTTTGTTACGTCCACTATGTTGTTCCATTCTGTCAAAGCTGGTCCTGTAAAGATCTTCTTTGTTGCTTTAAACAACAGGGTTGCATCATTGGCTTTGTTGGTCTCGACGACCTTGAACTCGGCTTCGAGTTCCGTCTGTAATTTTTCTAATGCCTCGAAGGCATGTTCTGCGTCTTCTTCACTTGTGTGTCCATACGTCTTCAGGTACACTTTTCGAGATGCCTTTGCGGTTGTTGTCTCAGTTGTCGTCTCGACAAGCTTATCATTCTGGTCTTTCTTTTCGATTTTCTTTATGCTTGCCTTTGCTTGCTCATACTCGAACTTCACTTCATCCGCCTTAAAGGTGGTTGTTCGGATGTATGGCACTGGAGCTTCTCGGTCAGTCATCACGCTCGCCATGTTTGGAAGTTGTTGGTTGGAGGTTGGAAGAAAAGAATTAAGTTATACTACCCTAATGTTCTCGTTATTCAATAATGCCTATTCAGAGTCGGAATCGGGCAAATACACAATCACTTGACGCTGTTCCGGATTCGATTCGTTGACTTCGACTTCGATCTCTTGGGCTTCTTCTTCAGGAGCGTCTTCGGTTTCGGTCTCGGGTTCTTCGGGTTCGTGGTTTTCACCTGCCTGGACCCAATCGACATCTGGAGCCAATCCAACGGCAATATCGTCAAGGTCTCGTGGGGACAAACCAGTGTAGAACCTGTTCTCTAGTCCGTAAATTTCGTCGCGGTCCTGCAATGAATATTTGGGCACTCCCGGATTTTGGCCGTCACTTAAAATCACACCGGGTTTTTCCGAACGATGGATGTGATCAGGGGCAAACAAAACGATGAATCGGTCCTGGACGTGAGACTTCTGCTGTATAGACGAAAGTTCCTGGGAGAATTTTCGCCCAGTCCTTGTCGGACGTGCGATCGAGTATCCGTTGTCTTCCCAAGTCGGGCACTTGCAGTACTGTACAACCAACACTGTGTTCCGGGTCACTTTGTAGGTGAGCTGGTCACGGTCGTACTCGCTAGACTTGGTCGTAAACTTTACCTTGGTTCTGATCTTCTTGCCTTTGCAGTCGCGCGAGAGGTAGAAGTTGCGGTCAAGGTATGCGTACCGGTAATCGTTTTCGAAGCTGCACAGGAGTCGCATCGGTTAGAAGATAGTTGCCTTAAAGAAGAATTAAGTGTCAGAGGGCCTATAGTCTTTAGTTGCCGGTGGACAATTCGCTTATAAATAGAGGCAGTGTCCTGGGGCGACTCAACAATAAGTCCTGTTTGGTATCCTGGAATTTAGATTTATGAGAGGAAGGAAGTTGACTCGAGGAGGAGTTTGGAAAAGGAAAGATACCAATAGATCTTGTTCAGTACTGGTGTCATGTAGGAATTAACGTGGAGGTGACCTTTGGGTTCTCACTGGAGCCTTCTGAGGGTCGCGGAACGTCACAAAACATCACGGAACATCACCAGAACCCTCTCAAAACGTCCCGCAAGACTGAAAATCGTTAAATCACTGGGTACCGCTTGTACATTCTTACCAGTAAAGTAACCAGTCAGCAATTCGGTATAGGAGATACTGTACCTGTAGGAACCAGTCAATGTACCAGCCGAAACGTCACTTGTTTTGTATGGAGGATACTGTACGGAGGTTGACAGCTGCTTCGGGTGTGTCAATGGAGGTCACTTATGGAAGAGCATGGAAGAACGATGATGGAAGGGCGCTTTCTTTGTTGTTGCCTGTTTCACCATGGAGGTGGAGCGCTTTCGCTTATGCTGTAAGTTACTGTACTGTTTCGTGACAATGAGGAAGTTGAAGCTGGAGGAGTGTTTTGCGCAGGAGGTACGGCTGGAAGGGAAGGAGAAGTCGCCGTAGTATGTTGGAAGATTGAAAATGGAGGTCTCACTTTTTGGCTCAAAATGGTGCTTTTCCTGTCTCTTTCTGTTGTTGCATTGCAGTCTCCCATCCATGGGAGTACTCTACTCTACTCTGCTCCTGTTGCCATGCTGCCCAGCAGCAGCTGGCCATGGTGGTTGGTGCCACCACACCTGTTTCTAATTTGCTAGCAAATTGTCCAGGTGGACAATTGTGAGCTAATTTAATAAAAGAGTAAGAAAACGTACTACAAATAGCACTGGTGCCTATCCTCGACAGGTGGTACCTCGAGGGTGTAGCCAGCAAACCTTGTGAATTTGAAGAAGAAGTCGATACACTTCTCCTTCGGACGCTGAACTGAGCCAGAACATCACGTTCCGGCGGTACCTCGAGGGTGTAGCCAGCAAACCTTGTGAATTTGAAGAAGAAGTCGATACAATCATCAGGGTTCGATAGACGTTACCAAAAACACAATTCACGAGTCGACACTAGTGATATATAGGAAAAACCAGCCTATGCGCGTTGGATACACTTCTCCTTCGGACGCTGAACTGAGCCAGAACACACGTTCCGGTGGTACCTCGAGGGTGTAGCCAGCAAACCTTGTGAATATGAAGAAGAAGTCGATACAATATCAGGTTCGATAGACGTTACCAAAAACACAATTCACGAATCGATATATAGGAAAAACCAGCCTATGCGCGTTGGATACACTTCTTCTCCGGACGCTGAACTGAGCCAGAACACCACGTTCCGGTGGACCTCGAGGGTGTGCTAGCGAACCTTGTGAATTTGAAGAAGAAGTCGATACAATCATCAGGGTTCGACAGACGTTACCAAAAACACAATTCACGATCGATATATAGGAAAAACCAGCCTATGCGTTGGTACACTTCTCCTTCGGACGCTGAACCTGAGCCAGAACACCACGTTCCGGTGGTACCTCGAGGGTGTAGCTAGCAAACCTTGTGAATTTGAAGAAGAAGTCGATACAATCATCAGGGTTCGATAGACGTTACCAAAACACAATTCACGAGTCAATATATAGGAAAAACCAGCCTATGCGCGTTGGATACACTTCTTCTCGGGAAGCTGAACTGAGCCAGAACACCACGTTCCGGTGGTACCTCGAAGGTGTAGCTAGCGAACCTTGTGAACTTGAAGAAGAAGTCGATACAATCATCAGGGTTAGACAGACGAACCAAAAACACAATTCACAAGTCGATATAATAGGAAAAACACCTATGCGCGTGGATACACTTCTCCTTCGGACACTGAACTGAGCCAGAACATCACGTTCCGGTGGTACCTCGAGGGTGTAGCCAGCAAACCTTGTGAATTTGAAGAAGAAGTCGAATACACTTCTTCTTCGGACGCCTGAACTGAGCCAGAACATCACGTTCCGGTGGTACCTCGAGGGTGTAGCCAGCGAACCTTGTGAATTTGAAGAAGAAGTCGATACAATCATCAGGTCGATAGACGATGATACCAAAACACAATTCACGAGTCGATATATAGGAAAAACCAGCCTAGCGCGTTGGATACTTCTTCTTCGGACGCTGAAGGGTGTAGCCAGCAAACCTTTGAATTTGAAGAAGAAGTCGATACACTCCTTCGGACGCTGAACTGAGCAAAACATCACGTTCCGGCGGTACTCCAGGGTGTAGCCAGCAAACCTTGTGAATTTGAAAAGAAGTCGAATACAATCATCAGGTTCAATAGACGTTACCAAAAACACAATTCACGAGTCGATATATAGGAAAAACCAGCCTATGCGCGTTGGATACACTTCTTCTCCGGACGCTGAACTGAGCCAGAAACCACGTTCCGGTGGTACCTCGAGGGTGTAGCTAGCGAACCTTGTGAATTTGAAGAAGAAGTCGATACAATCATCAGAGTTCGACAGACGTTACCAAAACACAATTCACGAGTCGATATTAATGGAAAAACCAGCCTATGCGCGTTGGATACACTTCTTCTCCGGACGCTGAACTGAGCCAGAACACCACGTTCGGTGGTACCTCGAGGTGTAGCTAGCGAACCTTGGAATTTGAAGAAGAAGTCGATACAATCATCAGGGTTCAATAAGACGTTACCAAAAAACACAATTCACGAGTCGATATATAGGAAAAACCAGCCTATGCGCATTGGATACACTTCTTCTTCGGACGCTGAAGGGTGTAGCCAGCAAACCTTTTGAATTTGAAGAAGATCGATACACTCTCCTTCGGACGCTGAACTGAGCAGAACATACGTTCCGGCGGTACCTCAGGGTGTAGCCAGCAAACCTTGTGAATTTGAAACAGAAGTCGATACAATCATCAGGTTCAATAGACGTTACCAAAACACAATTCACGAGTCGATATATAGGAAAACCAGCCTATGCGCGTTGGATACACTTCTCTCGGACGCTGACTTGAGCCAGAACACCACGTTCCGGTGGTACCTCGAGGTGTAGCTAGCGAACCTTGTGAATTTGAAGAAGAAGTCGATACATCATCAGAGTTCGATAGACGTTAAAACACAATTCACGAAATCGATATATAGGAAAAACCAGCCTATGCGCGTTGGATACACTTCTCTTCGGACGCTGAACTGGGCCAGAACATCACGTTCCGGTGGTACCTCGAGGGTGTAGCCAGCAAACCTTGTGAATATGAAGAAGAAGTCGATACAATCATCAGAGTTCGATAACGTTACCAAAAACACAATTCACGAGTCGATATATAGGAAAAACCAGCCTATGCGCATTGGATACACTTCTGTCGGACGCGAAGGGTGAGCCAGCAACCTTTTGAATTTGAAGAAGAAGTCGATACACTTCCTTCGGACGCTGAACTGAGCCAGAACATTACGTTCCGGCGGTACCCGGGTGTAGCCAGCAAACCTTGGAATTTGAACAGAAGTCGTACAATCATCAGGTTCAATAGACGTTACCAAAAACCAATCACGAGTCGATATATAGGAAAACCAGCCTATGCGCGTTGGATACACTTCTTCTTCGGACGCTGACTTGAGCCAGAACACCACGTTCCGGTGGTACCTCGAGGGTGTAGCTAGCGAACCTTGTGAATTTGAAGAAGAAGTCGATACAATCATCAGAGTTCGATAGACGTTACCAAAACACAATTCAGAATCGATATATAGGAAAAACCAGCCTATGCGCGTGGATAACTTCTCTCGGACGCTGAACTGGCCAGAACCACGTTCCGGTGGTACCTCGAGGGTGTAGCCAGCAAACCTTGTGAATTTGAGAAGAAGTCGATACAATCATCAGAGTCGATAGACGTTACCAAAAACACAATTCACGAGTCGATATATAGGAAAAACCAGCCTAGCGCGTTGGATACACTTCTTCTTCGGACGCTGAACTGAGCCAGAACACCACGTTCCGGTGGTACCTCGAGGGTGTAGCTAGCGAACCTTGTGAATTTGAAGAAGAAGTCGATACAATCATCAGAGTTCGACAGACGTTACCAAAAACACAATTTACGAGTCGATATATAGGAAAACAAGCCTATTGCGTTGGATACACT